TCTCCTTCAATTTTAAATGATACCCTTGCTGGGTAAAGTAGCTTTGGTTGTAAGTCTTTGCATTTCATCACCTTGAATATTTCATGCCACTCCCTTCTGGCCTGAAATGTTTTTGTGGAGAAATCAGATGACAGTGTAATTGATGCTCCCTTGCATGTAACTACCTGCTTGTCTCTTGTGGTTTTTAGGATTCTCTCCTTGTCTTTTTTTTTTTTTCAACTCTTAGTTGTTTATGTTTTAGATTTTTATTTATTTATCTTTAGAGGGGAAGGGAAGGAGAGAGGGAGAGAAATATCAATGTATGGTTGCCTCTCATGTGTCCCCTGCTGGGAACTGGCCTGAAACCCAGGCATGTATCCTGACTGGGAATCGAACCGCAATCCTTTGGTTTTCAGGCCCGCGCTCAATCCACTGAGCTACACCAGCCAGGGCTCTCTCCTTGTCTTTAAGACTTGTTGTTTTAATTATGATGTGTTGCAGTGTAGGCTTCTTTGAATCCAACTGTCTGGGACTCTCTGAATTTCCTGCACTTTTGCAGCTCTTTCCTTCACAAGATTAGGGAAGTTTTCACTCATTCTTTCTTCAAATGGCTTCTCGATCCCTTGCTCACTCTCTTTTCCTCCTGGTATTCCCATGATGTGGATGTTGTTATGCTTCATATTGTCCAAAATGCTTCTTCAACTCTCCTCATTTTTAAAAATTAATTTTTCTTTTTGCTGCTCTGCCTGGGTGTTTTTTCTACCTTGTCTTCCAAATCACTGGTTTGATTCTCTGCTTCATCTAACCTTCTGTTTATTCCTTCCAGTACATAATTTATTTCAGATATGGCATTCTTTCTGACTGGCCCTTTTTTATGGTTTCTGTGTCTTTTTTCATGCTGTTGAGTATCCTTATAATCATTACTCTGAACTCTAGCTGATAGATTGCTTGCCTCTACTTCATCTAGCTGCTTCTCTGGAGAATTCTCTTGTTGTTTCACTTGGGGTCTCTTTTTTCTTTTTTCAATTTAATCTTGATTGTATTTTTTTCTGATTGTCATTTAGTCCCATTATACCCGGCTCCCCACAGCAATCACCACACTGTTGTCCATGTTCATGGGGTCTATTTCTTTGTCTTCCCATTTAGGCTGCTTCTTTGTATTTTCTGCCTTAGCTGTTAAATTGATGAGTTGTTAAACTAATCAAGCTTTAAGCGGCCCAGCATATGCACTACAGGATGGGGCAGAGTAATTCCTGTGGGCAGGGCCATCGCTTCTCTCCGGTTCAGGGTGAAGAATGCTCTGCCTGAGAGACGTGACTTTGGCAGTGTAGGGACTGACCCAGCACTGGGATCCTGGTGGCTGTTTCTTCAGTTCTCTCCCCAGAGCCATCAACCCCAACTCCTCAAGAGTCTCTGTTCCACTCTGCCCTCCCTCTGACAGAGCCCAGGGTAGGTGGCTACAAATGAAATATTGTGTGTTGGCCCTTTTAGAGGCTCTCCGCATCTCCAGCTGTATCTCCCTAGCAGACAGAACCCCTGCTGCTTTTCATAGCTGGATGCTATCTGGGTTCCCTTCTGGCTCTGGTGCTGTAGGCTGGGGAGACCAGCCTGGGGTTTAGACCCGCATTTCTCAGGGAGAACCCCCTGGCTGCTGAAATATCCCTCCAGAGCTTCAGCTGCCTCCCGTGGGAGCCCAGCCAGCCCTCTCGCACCTTCTCTGCACTTCCTCCCCCTACCGGCCACGTTGGGGTGAAGTGTTTTCTTCTGTCTGTCCTTGGTAATAAGACTTCTATCCAGCTAGTAGTATTCAGTTGGTTATTCAGGATGATTTCTCCACAATTTAGGATTCTCCAGATTGGTCCTGGGAGGAGGTTAGTGTAGCTTCTACTTACTCCTCAACCATCTTGATATTTCTGGAATGTAATTATTGAAATGGTTAGATTTCAGTCCACCATTTTGCTGTTTCTTTGGTTTGCTCTGTCACTTGACCCATGAATGAAAGGGCCCCTGACTCTGGGGTACTGGCATTAAAGGCTTCTATGTTTTGGGCAGTGTTGTTATCAAAAAGCATTAAGGCTGGTAGAGCTGAACCTTGCAGTCGGCAAATGGGTATAAGATGCCCTGCTTCTGTTACAGAACAAGAGGTCTGAGGGAGGGGGGGCAATATTTGGTCCACCTAGGGATGCCAAAAACTGCTAAAGAACAGGGGCCCCTCCCAAGGATAGAATACTAATATCTACTGGGCTCTTCTGTCCGCCGCCAATTGGAAAGACATCTCTCAATGCCAGAGATTTGTGAAAAGGAAACAAAATGTTTCTTTAATGCTATTTAGGCTTAATGCCACCACTAAAATATCAAAGTCCTTTAGGGTATACACCTACACACACACAGCTCCCACTTCTCCCACTGTCCCAACTCCAGTACCGTAAATCAGGAAAAGAGCACACGTCTGTGTTGCAGGCCGCTGGCACCATCAGCTGTGTCACCGTGCAGGCAGGATCTCTCTCTCTAGTTGATCCAAAGTACTGTGGTACCTTCTCATGGTCCACTGGCAAGAGTTCTTTGTACCCAGTTCCAACTAAAGTCTCTCCTGCTTTCCAGGCCACACGGCCAAAGGGGGCACCCCAAAGCCGCGTGGGCCTCTTCTACCAAAGCTGCAGGGGTTCACACTCCACCAAAAGCATGTGGCTTTCTTCTTCACCTGGCTGCAGGGATCTCCATTCTGGCAAAGCTGCGTGGTTTTCCCTTTCACCTGGGAAAGAGGGGGTCCGCACTCTGCTGAAACCGCGTGGCTCGCTCTCCTAATGGCTGCTGTGTCTGGCTTTTAAATCCTCGCACCCATCTTCCTCTATACCCCTATTTCCGACTCCTCCCAAGATCAGTTACACCTGCCAGTATTTCTGTATTAATACAAGTTTACTAGGCTGCCATCATTAGTCTGGGCAGTAATCATCCCATGTCCTAGAGCCAATCTTCTCCAAGCCCCTACGCAGGCGCTGTAACTTGGGGGACCTGCCCCCAGTTACATCTTGGGGGAAGTGACTTCATCCCTCTAGCTCCAAGACTGGCCACAGCCATTTAACATATCCAAGTGACCCGCCAAAGGCTACAGATATGTTAAAAGACAATGCCATGGATTAGCTGCAAGGCTGTGGCTGTACAAAACAGCCCTGCATGTTCCCGCTCCATGTGTCCCTTCCCCCAACTCACACCTGTGAGGGAAGGGGTGAGGACATCTTATATGTCTCTCCAATATTCCTATACACTTTGAGTTCTGGACACCATTCCAAACCTTTTTTTTTTTGGCGGGGGTGGGGGGGCCCTGGGCTGCACCCTGTATCACTTCCACGTGGCAAGCAGAGGGTGGATCAGTTTCCGCTCTGGTCAGCTGGCGGTGCTGCTGTGTTGAGAAGGGTTCTGAAGCCTCATTCAGGCTCAGCAGTAGAGCACTCGGAGTGGTCAGAGCATTGATTAGGATGCAGGCCACCCTGGCTCTGGGTGCACTGACTGGGATGGAGAGAGGGTGGTTTGTGTGTTTCCGGTTAGGTCTTTCTGCAGGCAAGTCCAGGCTTCTTGGGAGGGGGACTAAGTGGAGGTGGGGGAAGTCACCGAATATACTGGGTACGGGTGAGTTGACTACAAGTGACTGGCACTGCGGACATCGAGGAATGTCTCAGGAAGTGCAGGTTCGGGAAGGACAGCCCCGATACCAGAGCGGGGGTTTCCTGGCCGCAGGAGATCAGAGGGATAGAAGGGCCTGCTCCTCATGCCACGCCGTGCGCGGTCTGACACTCACCGAGGTCTCGGTGCAGCTCGGGTGCGCAGCTTGGCACGTCTGGCCCAGAATGCCTGCTTCCCCCAGCTGCATGGGTGCCTCTGTGCAGTGACCATGACATGGAACCGGCCCCTGCGCCACTTCAGTAGAAACAAGCTGTTCTCGTAAGGCACTTCTTTCTTTGTCCGCCTGGCTTTGTGGGGCATTTGGTGAGAACAGAGAAAGGGCAGTGCAGTGCGGTGCTCAGCTCTCAGTCACCCCTCACCGGGGCTGCAGGAGCCACCTCCCCCACGGGTTCCGGCCTCGAGCCATTTTGCCTTCTCTGCTCTGCTCTCCCATCCCCCCACCTGTCTTGCCTCTGAGACCAACTCCAAATTCCCCTTCTTACTGTAGTGGGATGAAATGGTTTCCATTGCCGGTTCTCTGGTATTTCTTCAACTGAGAGATTGGTAGGGTCTGTGTCCCCTGCCTTGGATCAGGGTAGGGTCTGTGACAGCATGACCCGGGAGAGTATGGCAGATGTGACACCATGCCAGTCCCTGGCTCGACCTTCAACAGGACAGGCTATTTCCACTGTAGTCTCTAGGAGCTCCCCGGTGCCATGGACTGGGCTGCTGGGGGTCCATGTGGAGGACCCCTGAGGCTGCAGGGACGGCCCAGCTGAGTCCAGGCGTCCCCACCGGGCATCTGGTGTGGGGAGAGCCATCAGGAACCCTCCAGATCAGCCCTCCCAGCAGCTGGGTACTTCCAAGAGACCCCCAGCCAGGCCCTCCCCAACTCTTCACATCCTGCTCGCGGTAGATAAGCAACTGGTCACTCTGGGCCACCTTTTGGGGCAGCCTGTTATGCAGCAGTGACAGAGAACAGTGGCTCTGCCTGGCACCTGCACGCTGGACACCGCCCACCGTGCCACTGAGCTCCGGAGCATAAACAAAAAGGTTTTTTACGAAGGGCGCAGGTGCCTGGAGGGTGGGTCATTGTGCCTTGTTCGTTGCCGGATTCCAGCACTAAGAGCCGAGCCCAGTGAACATTTGTTGAATGAAATCCTGTGTCCAGATTCCTTCCCTTGTGGTGGCACGTGACAGGGTCCCCATCACACTTGTCCCTTCAGACCCACAGGGCTGACTTAGTGCCCGTGGTGAATCCTACCAGGGACCCTTATGGCCGAGAGCCCATGTCCAGAGCTCTGACCGCTGGGTGAAAGCCATGCGGGGCTCACTGCAGCCCCTTCCCGCCTCCCCGCCAGTGTGTGACGTCCTCCTGCCCGGTGCTCCGCCGGCCCTGCCGCCCTGGTACGTGGACCAGCGCTTCACCTTGACCCTGCTGTCCATGCTGGTCATCCTGCCCCTGTCTACCCCGAAGGAGATTGGGTTCCAGAAATTCACGAGGTACGTGGCTGCAGACGCTCCCTGGCTGAGCAGTGGCTTTGACTGGGTCCCCACCATGGGCAGTGTTTGTCGCAGGGCTTTCTGTCTGCCTCTGACAGGGCAGCTGTTAACATTGGCCTTCCCATTAGGACAAGGAGAAAATAATTAAAAATTACACAGGGAACATCTGTGTGCGAGAGAAAACATAGATAAGCGACAAAGAAAACTGCCAGGACGGCATAACCTGCTGCGACATCTCCTTTAATTAGTACAGACTTTATATACACACGTGTGCGCACGCAGCACACACGGAGACACGGCGCGCACACCCTTTCCTTCCTTTTGTGGTCTGTGTGGCTTTGTGTATGTTTTTGAAAGAATTAAGTCTGGCAAAAGTACCCGTACAGACTTGCAGCCTGTGTTTCCCTGTTGAGTTCAGAGCAACAATGGACTTTTTACCTCGGAAACAGAGGAACTCGGGCAGAGACTTGGAGCCCCCCAGGTGCCCCCGACCCTGGCCAGTCTCTTTTGTCAAGCCCAGGCTGAGGCAGGGGTCCTTCTCCACTGCAGCTGGTGTCCTCGCTTAGATGCCAAATCCGAGTGTCTGTGTGGCTGTCGCTGGAGAGATGGGGGAACTAGGGGCCATCACAGCCTCGAGGGTGCCGGCCGGCCTGACCTCAGGGCATGAGAGCTGTCCCGATGAAAGTGCCTGCCGCTGGCCCCAGGATACAGATGAGGAAATCAGGGCTCAGAGCAAGGAGAACTTTGCAGACACCGTGCTGGTGTGGGCAGAGCTGGCATTCAGCCCGCACTCTGTGTGGCTCCCCGGCCCTCCCTGGTGGGGCTGGTGGCCCCTGGTGTTTGTGGTCACACATTGTCTGTGTGTCAGCTTCCTAGGCACCCTGGCTGCCTGCTACCTGGCCCTGGTCATCGTGGCGCAGTACTACCTTGGGGCCCAGCCCCTGGTGCGGGAGCCCCGCCCTGCCCTGAGGTGAGTGGAGGGAATGGCCTTTGGTGACCTCGTGGAGTGCTGTGGGGGCGGGGGGGGGTCCCTGAAGCATCTGCACTGAGCCCCGGCTTTTCTCTGTGAATCTCTTGGCGTCTCTGAGGCCCTAGGGCCCAGCAAAGGCTTCAGAATGGACACAGTTGTTTGTAAGGACCAGAGACTGGCCAAGGGACTCAAAACATTAAGTGGGGACTCAAAAACAGGCTGTGGGGACACTTGCAGAAGTGTCCCCACAGCCTGGAGGCAGTAGAACTGGTCGGCAAGACGCCGGTGCTGGGGCAGAGGGCACGGGGGCGTAAGAGGCCAGTGTGGCCTGACCAGCCTGAGCAAGGCCAGGGGAGGGGGCGGGGGTGTCCCTTGGGGACGCGGAGCCTCAGCGAGGACATCGGTTTTGCTGGGAAGCCACAGCAGGGTTCGGAGCACAGCAGGGGCTTGAAACCAGATCTGGTGACAGGACAGCTCCGTAGGCGCTGACTTACCGCGTCACCCAGGGCCCTGTGCTGGGAATGGCCTTGCACTTGGTCTAATGCCCTTCAGTCACCATCCCAACATTCTTTTCCTTTTTAATCCTCACCCGAGGGTATGTTTTATCAATTTGAGAGAGAGAGAGACATGGATCAGTTGCCTCTCATATGCACCCTGACCAGGGGTCAAACCCACAGCTTAGGTATGTGTCCTGAATGGGAATTGAACCCGCAACCTCTTGCGTATGGATGACGCTCTAACCCACTGAGAAACCTGGCCAGGGCACCAGCCCACTGTCGATGAACAGGGGTCCGGCATATTTGTTTTGCACTGGGCCCTGCAAACGATGTGGCTCCTTCAGGTGGACAGACCGGAAGTGGAGCGCGACAGAGAGAGGGGGAGGAGTCCAGGGTGACTCTGAGCCCTGGGCCTGGCACTGGGAAGGTTTGGCGCTGCCGTTTCCCAGGCCGGACAAGACAGAGGGGGCAGGTGGGGAGGGGCAACGCTGGAGTCGGCTTTGAAACTTCTAAATGAAGGTGTCGGGCAGCCAGCTTCTCAGAACTGTGTGTCTGCAGTTCGGAGAGAGAGGCCTGGCCCGGAGGGAGAAAGGTGGTTGGTGTCAAGCCCAGAGATGGCGTCTAAGGCCAGGCGCCTGGTGAGAACTGTGCTGGGGACCCACAGGCTCTGTCCCGCTCTGGGAGGCCAGGGGAGGGGGAGGAGCAGGGGAAGGATGGGAGAGGGGTGGGGAGCCAGGAGAGGTGCTAGCCTCCTGGAGCTGCTGTGACAACTGTCCGCAAACCTGGTGGCTTCACACGACAGGAATGTGTCCTCTCAGCTCTGGAGTCCAGGAGCCAAACATCAAGGTGTGGGTAGGTTCTAGGGGAGGACCCTTCCTGCCTCTTTGAGCTCCTGGGAGCTGCCAGTGGCCCTTGGCTGAAGGGTGGCCGCCTCACGCAGCCTCTGCCACCCTCACCCCACAGCCCCCGCCGGCGTCTGTTTTCTCCTCCTGCCGGACACCAGTCCTTGCATTAGAACCCAACCTTCCCTGCACGGCCTCATGCTAATTTAACTGATTACATCCACAGGGGCCCCGTTCCCAGATAAGCCTTCCTTCTGAGGCTCCCAGCGGGTGTGAATTTGGGGAACACCATTCAGCCAGGATAGAGGATGACGGAAGCTGGGTCTCAGGTGTCAGTGAACTAAATTTCCAGAAAGTTGGCATGACTGTTGCCAAACACTGCTCCTGGGTCACGTGGGACTGAGTCCTGGGCGTCGATGTGGCCACAGAAGCCACTGGCGGCGTTACCTGGTCTGGGCAGGAGAGGGGGCGAAGGCCCAGGTGGATTGGGCTCATGAGAGAGAGAAGGAGGCAGGAAGCAGTTCTTCTGAGGAGAGGAGAGGAATGGGCAGGCGCCGAGGGGGACAGAGCCCCAGCCCCTGTCGATGACGATGGGCAACCCCTAAGAGAAGAAAAAGCCGGGGAGGAGAAGGCCAGACTCACTGCTGACCTACAGCCTGGAGTCAGGGGCTGGGAAATGGCAGGGTTGGGGGTTCTGTGCTCTGGGGACCCAGCCTCAGGCTGGGGCTCAGACTGTGTCTTCCACAGAGGCAGGAGGGGACGGCATGCACAGGCCCAGAGGTCCCAGGCAGATAGAGGGCCCAGTGCAGCTGTGGGCCCTCTGCTCCTGGTCTGAGCAGAAAGCTGGGCATTGGGTGGCCATGCTGCTGAGGAGGGTCAGGGAGGCCCTGCTGTGTGGGCAGGCGCCAGGCATGGTGTCCAGGGTGAAGTCAGCCAGACCCAGCGCAGAAGAGGAGACACCTCCGTGTCAGGGTCCTGTGGCTGCCGTAACGAGTCACCACCAACCTGTGGGGCTCGAAACAGCACGATTTCCCGTCTCAGTCCCGGAGGTCAGAAGTCTACCTTGAGTCTCCCTGGGCTAGAGGCAAGGTGTTGGCAGGGCTGCGCTCCTTTTGGAAACTACCGTCCTGGCCTTTTCCAGTGTCTAGGCGACACCCCCACGCCTGTCTGGCGGCTCTGCCTCCATCTTTAAAGCCAGCAACACCCCTTCTCTCTGCCGTCCCCGTAGGCACTGCTCCCTCTGAGGGAGGGACAGCCAGGACAGGCTCTCTGACTTCACGCATTCGTGTGACATGCTGGGCCTAGGTGATACAGGATAACCTCCCGCCTCAAAGTCCTCACCCTTAGTCACACCTGCACATTCCTTTTGTCCCGTCAGGTCGAATATGCACAGGTCCCTGGAGAAGGACATGGCCCCCTTGGGGGCCACTGTTCTAGCACAACTGGGAAGCCCTGACTCTGTAGCGGGAGTTGTTTATGGCCCAACCCACCACATGTCCCCAAAGGTGCTAAACGCTGGCACCTAGGGACGCTGGCACCCAGAGCTGCCAGTCAAAGGAAGCTGGAGGGCCACCGTCCTGAAAATTCTGCACCGTGCACACCTCAGGCCTTTTTGGCAGCTTGGACAGAGGTCCAAGTGTCCCTGCACTGCTGGGTGTTTGTGTGGTGGACACTGGCTGCCTGCGTGCCCAGCCCCGAACCTCCCCGGGGACAGGCAGCCTCAGAGGGACGCTGGGAGCACCTGCTCGCCATGCCCTGTCCAAGTTCTGCCCATGCAGGGAAGGTCAAGTTGCCAAAGTGTCAGCACAAACGCATTTAGAAAGTGCAGTCATGGGCACACATTCTTTTCCATTCCCCCAAACTTGGTAGTGGACGCAATGGTTAAAAACATATTTTATAGTCATGTGTAGTCACACCTTCCTGGCATGGTTTAAAACTCATCTCTGCATTGAAGGTTGTCTTGAGTTGAACTTTTCGTAATCACCACCTGTTCTTCTCTGTTTGCAGTCCTTCCTCCTGGGCCTCCGTGTTCAGTGTCTTCCCCACCATCTGCTTTGGATTTCAGGTAACCTTATGTCTGTGGTGAGGAGCGGCCTTTGCAGGCTGTGGCGGCTGCTTGCTCCCATGGGAGAGGGTGGCCTCCCTGTCAGGAGAGCCGTGCGAAGACTTGTCCTAGGCCGAGACAGGCTGTCTTCAGAGACTGGGCACGTGGGTGCGGATCTGGGCTCAGTGTGTGAATTGCTGTTGAACTTGGGGACCCGACCAGCAGCCGACAGCCGCAGCAGATGTGCTGGGTCCAGGATAGAATGGGGGACGGGGGTTCGGCAACTGTCCTTCCTCCGCAGCATGCGCGCATGCCTGGATGCCTGGGCCTGCAGGACGCCAGGTGGGTTCTGCTCCAGGGGCTCTGGGAGGAGAGAGCCTGCTGTGGGAGGCCTGGGGCCAGGAGGGCCGGGAGGGCTGGGAGGGGTGCAGGTGGCTGTGTGGCAGGTTCGGGGCAGGATATAGAGAATTTTCCATAGGAAGTCGTGAGTGAGAAGGGGTTCAGTGAGCGCAGCCCAGCTGAGGGGCTTCTGATCTAGCCTTGAAGGATGGGTGGGAGGCGGCCAGGTGAAGGGAGGATGGTCCAGCTGGAGAGGGCAGCATGGGTGACTCGGGGAGGGGAGAGTGTGCCCGGCGGGGCCGCAGAGCTGCAGAGGGCTCTGCCAGGTGGGTGCCCCGTGGGCCGCTAGAGGCGAGGTCGACAGCTCCTGCGGGCTCTGCTCCCTGCCTTCTGCTCTCTCTGTCTCTTTCAGCCGGTGGCAGCCGACTCCATGCTTTCGCTGTCTACTTTAGGAGACATTTGTCCTTCTCCCAGACAGCCACCCACCACACTGGTAACAGAACCGCCCTGGAGCACAGTCAGCTTCCCAGGGGGAAGTGGCTCAGGAGTGACAATACCTCCCAAGTGTTTTAGGGACGATACCCCTAACCCGAGTGTTTTATCTTCCCTCATCCAGCAACGAGCTCGAGTTTCTGCTTCTCGTTTTCTTGGAGAAACATCTTTGAAAAAACTCCTGAAACGTTTTCATTTCTCTTCCTTATAAATGAGTTGATGGTATCGCTGCTGGGGCTTAGCGAGCCGTTTACAGGAATTCCTCATGTTTTTTCCTGCACACCCAATATTTTGAAAGATCTGAGGCAGTGATTTTCCTGACAACTGTTGGGATGTGGCTTTAACCACCCCTCTCTCCAGTGCTGAGTACCATATGGTGTGACGGTCTCACACTGGGGGGCTGCTCTTCAGATGTTTAGCCGGGGGTGCTCCCCCACCTTTGCCTTGGCTCCCCAATTCAATTCTCCTGGCAGCTGAGGCCTGGGCTGAGGTTTCCAGGGACAGGTGTGCAGTGATGGGAGTCTGGGAAAAGACGTGAATTGCAGGTGCAGGTGGGGGTGGGGGTGGGGCTGAGGCCAGCGGCCGGGCTGCAGGGATGCGGTGTGGAGAGAAGGCATCCAGGCTGGAGGAGAGGAGAGGCAGAGGATGAGTAGGGGGTAGACAGAGGAGTGGGGCAAGGCTGGAGGGACTGTGCGGGCCGGGGTCGCTCTGTCATCCGGAGCTCTGAACGGGTTCAAACGCCACACCCACCTCTCACAACGGCCCCCCCACCAGCCTGCACAGAGTGGGTCAGAGGGGTCTGGGGGAGCAGAGGCGGGAGTTGGGCTCTGCTCCCAGCCACCCTGGCTGCACTTGACTCCTCAGGTGTTGGTTTTTAAAAAACAGTCTCATTAGATACAACCCACGTCGCATGCATCTCACCCCTCTGAGGCGTGAAGTCCAGCGGTGTTCCGTGTGGTGACAGAGCTGGGAAGCCCTCAGCGTGGGCAGCTTCAGAAACTCCCACCGCCCCACAGTGGGGCGGGCCACATAAATGGACCCTACGACTCGTGGTCCTCTATGGTGGCTCCTCTGACTCGGCACCGTGTTCTCGAGGTTCACCCATGTTGTAGCATGTGTCAGCTGAGTCACAGTCCACTGCAGGGACAGACCCCCGTTAGCTTGCCGTTCCTCGGCTGGTGGACACCCACGCTGCCTCCACTTCTTAGCCAGTGTGTGCACCTCCGCCCTGCACCCATCTCCGAGTGAGTATGAGCCTGCACACAGCCAGCCCCGGCCCCCAGGCTGTTCGAGCAGGGCAGCCCTGCCCTCAGGGAACGGACTATATTTCCCTACAAACCCGAGAGAAACTCACCCAGGAGCCCTAGGACAGAGGAAGAGAGGCTGGGCTCCATCCAGCTACCGACAACCATTTTCCCCGTTTCTGAGTCTGGGAAGGAGGACGTAGGAGCCTTGACCCACGGGGCTCCACTGCCCCTTGGTTGAGAGTCCCTGGGGCTGCAGGCCAGCGGGCTCCTGTGAGGTCAGAGAAGTCCCTGAGCAGAAAGCCGAAGACGCACTGATGCCCTGAGGCTCGTCGGTCCTAGAAGGTCTGAGTGCGCTCACCCTGGCGGCTGCAGGTAGAGAGAGGTGGACTGAGCTCAGTGAGTGGGAGGAGCGTGGCCCTCGAGGAGCCTGGAGTGTGGGTAGGAGAAGATCAGCATGGTTGGTTTTGATCGGAAGTGAATGAGTGAGTGGGTGGACGTGATAGTGGGACCCCTGCCCCAGGAGCCTAGGAAGTCCTGGAACCCTAAGAGTACATGCAGATATGGGGGCGCCTCTCAACCTGCCTGGGCATCAGGGTCTCCTGGCACGTGTGAGACACCACTGCCCAGGACCTGCCCCAGGTCAGTAACGTCCCTGTCGCAGGTGGGGTCTTGGCATTGGCTAGATGTACATTATATTGAATTCTCTTATGACAATCTAATCAGTACATATGGAATATATAACCATAAGTATGTGCGCTCGCATGTAACCATCGCCCCAGTCAGGAGGTAGAGCCCTGCCAGCCCCCACGGAAGGCTCCCTTGTACCATATTCCACTCAGTGGCAGGCACCCCACCCGCACCACTCTTCTGCCTGCTGTCACCCTAAGTGCTGGCTCTTGTTTGGGGGTGACTGCGCCCCACCCACTGGAAATTTGGCAATGTCTGGAGACACAGCTGGTTGTAACAGTTGGGGGCAAGCGTTCCTGGTATCTAGTGGGTCAAGGCCAGGGATGCTACTCAACACCACACAATGCAAAGGGCGGCCTGGTCTGGCTGGTCTGGCTTGAGATTCAAACTTAGGTACATGGAAATGTTCTTCTGTGTCTGGCTTTCTCTGCAAAACGTGAGAGCTGTGAGGTTCTTGTTAAGGTGTATAGTGTGCTCATCCTTTTTCATCGCTATGTAATATTCCACCATGTGAATATCTGGTGATTTACTTAATGCCTTTTACTGTTGGTGGGCATTTGGGTGGTTTCCTGTATTTTTGGACACTGATACTTTTTAGATCGTTCTCAGGGATTCTAACGCCCAGCCGGCCCCGCTGGCCCCCTCTGTCTTGCAGTGTCATGAAGCGGCTGTCTCCATCTACTGCAGCATGGGCAACCAGAGCCTGTCCCACTGGGCCCTGGTCTCTGTGCTGTCCCTGCTGGCCTGCTGCCTTGTGTACTCACTGACAGGTAAGGCCCTGCCTGCAGCGCCAGGAGCTGGGTAGGGATTGGCAGGAGAAATGGGAATAATAATGAGTATTTATAGAGAGCTTACAGTGTGCTAGGTACAGCCCTGCAGAGTGTAAGTGCCTTCGCTCACATAATCCTTAACACCCCCTAGGAAATCCCCATTTTACAGATGAGGAGACTGAGGCTCCGAGGGCTTCCATGGGTTGGCCAAGATCTCCAGACTAGATGTGACAAAGCTGTCACCCTCCCCCTGGTCTGGCTATCTCCAAAGCCCCTGCCCCATGCCCCGTCTGCTGCTGTCTGATGGGATGACAACAATAGTGGTTGTCATTAGCGCTACATCTGGGTAGCGATTTACAAAGTGCTGTCATGGACTCGATGGGTTTGGGTGCTCACGAACCTGTGCTGTGGGCAAAAGGGTCTTCAGAGGTGATGGAAGTGTGGCTCAGAGAGGGTGTGTGATGTGCCCAAGGTCACACAGCATGTGCCCAGCACAGCCCAGGTCCCAGGCTCAGGCTGACTACTGGGCACCTTCCTCCAGCCCAGGGGGTCACTTTCTCATCTGCCTGTTGGACCTTCTGACTTGGGAGGCCCTTGGACTACAGAGAATGTGTCAGGTGCCTTGGTCACCATGGTTTTAAGAAACTTGCTGGGTGACTGCTCTCCAGCAGGGAAGGTCCTTGTCAGTCAGTGGCCCCTGGGTTGGAAGGCCAGGACCTGGTCACTGAGAGTCACCTCTAAATGGCTCAGGTCCGGGATCAGCAGGATCAGGGGACCAAAATGAGCCATAGCTCTTAGCTAGAGATGGGCATCTCAGGACAGGGCAGGTGACGAGGATGTGAGCGGCAGCACTGGGTGCAGGCCAGGGGCCTGGTGCGCTGGACGCGGTAGTGTGGTAACTAGCCGTCTGCGTATCCTGGCGATTGCTGCCACCCCGGGTCTCGGTGTTTCCCACCAGGAACATGGGTGCACTGCCAGCTGCTTTCTGTTTTTAGTCCACACCAAGGATACCTTTACTGATTTTAGAGAGAGAGAAACACCAATGCGAGAAAGGAACATCCATCCACTGGTTGCTTCTTGTATGCACCCTGAGCAGGGATTGAAGCTGCCCCATTTTAGTGTATGGGACAGCGCTCCAACCAGCTGAGCCACCGGCCAGGGCTGGCGGCTGTCTTTAGCTGTTGGAGTGGGGTGGGCCGGGCGTGGAAGACATCGATAGAGTTCTCAGAGTGCTGGGTGCTTCTGCCAGCACCCACTCTGTGCACAGGCCCCTGGTGAGCCGTCTGAAAGAAGGGTTAGCAATAGCTTTGCCCAGTGTGGGTTTTGAATCAGAAGAACAGAGTGTTACATAGGCTGAGGACAGAAAAGCCTTGGGAAATGGCAAAACAGGGACAGAACATTCTGTCCTCTCCTAGGGAAAGCCTCAGAGGTGGTAGGAGCTGGGTGCCCTGGGTGTGTCAGAGTTGGGAGCGGGAACAGTACGTTCTAATCAGCTCTCTGGACTTCCACCCTTCCCACCTGCCAGGTGTTTATGGCTTTCTGACCTTTGGGACAGAAGTTTCCGCTGACATCTTGATGTCCTACCCAGGGGACGACGGACTCATCATCGTTGCCCGAGTCCTCTTTGCCGTCTCTATAGTGACCGTCTACCCCATTGTGCTCTTCCTGGGGAGGTGAGGCTGGCTGGGCGGGGCTGTTGTTTGGCGCAAGGCGCTGACATTCATCACGGTGCAGCGCGTGCCAGGTGCCGCAAACTGCCGTGTGGTGGCACATCCCTCATCTCGGTCTTACCGAGGAGTGTGCGGGGCTGATGGCTAGGTAACTGGCCCAGCACCACCAGGTAGCAGTGCCAGGAGCCTGGTCTCCGACCTGCCCCGACCTCCCACCAAGTGGCCCCTCGACCCCCGCTGTCTGACGGGGACTGTCCCACCTGAGGGCTGGCGTGGTGCTTGAAGAGGCCCCCTGTGTGGGAGGGCAGCCCTGCCAGGTGGGCAGGGTGACCGGGAGGGGACTATTGGGTGCCCAGTGACAGGTGGGTGGCAAGGGCCAGAGCCCTGGGAGCCCGTTCCTGCTGTACTGGCATGGCCTCCAGGTCGGTGATGCAGGATTTCTGGAGGAGGAGCTGTTGCCAGGTGTTTGGGCTGCGGGCCCTGGCCGACCCCTCAGGGCTAGGGGTCCGGATGCTGCTGACCGTCCTGTGGGTCACCGTGACACTTGCCATGGCCCTGTTCCTGCCAGACCTCAGCGAGATCATCGGCATCATCGGTGGCATCAGTTCCTTCTTCATCTTCATCTTCCCAGGTGAGGCACCCACTCCCTGGTCCTGCAACCTGCTTGTCCTCCCCTGCTCCTCCCAGCAGGGAGCCTCTGTGCTGGGGGTCAGGGGGCTCGAGGGCAGGAGCCCAGAGGAGGCAGGCTGGCACAGCCCTGTTTACTGGCCAGGCATGGGCCGGGGGCCTCGTGGACCTTCCCTCGTTAAACATCTCCGCACCCTGGATGGGCACAGCTGGGGACAGCCCCGTTACTGCCCCACCTGCAGCTGGGACACGTGGGGGAGGGGGGGGGGCAGGAGAGGAGAGGGCAGGCGTATAGCCGGCCTGAGTAAACCTCACAGCGTGGCCCACCTTCCACAGCTGTCACTCTACAGGACTTTGTTTTATTTTTTAAAGATGTTTTCAATTGCATGGAATGTAAAAATACATTCAATTAATTGAAGTTCATATGGCTCAAAGGTACCCCATGAAATCTTCATTCCCCCTTGTCCTGGACCTGGGAGGCAAACACTGTTTCTGACAGTTTCTTAGGAACCCTTCCCAATGTGAGTGAATGTCAGCCTGTCCTGAGGGCTACCAGGGCTGGGAAACCGAGCAGGCCAAGGCCTCGGGCCAGGCTTTTAGCACCTTGGAAGATCCTTCTGTCCACAAGGAGGAGCCCTGGAGGGGCTGCTGGTGCTCAGGGGGACACTCCAGCTCCTCTGTCCTGGCTCTGGGAAGTGCTTCCAAATGACAGTGCTGAGGTCAGATGGCCTTCTCATCCCCTGGCCCGCGCCCCAGGGCCGCTGCATTGGCCACACTTCCTGGGCATTGGCCACATTCCCTGGGCATCTGACACACACTAGGTTGGGCCCTGTGCCCGTGTCCTGGGTGGTGCATCAGCTCCAGCTGTTTAGGTGGAAGACGGCCGGCGGGGGCAGGTTTTGGGGGGGCATGCCGTGGGGCTTTAGGCAGAGCTGTCTGGCTTCAAATCCCAGAATTATTTTATAAAACAGGAAAAAAGGAAGAAAGGAAAAGGTCACAATGGCAGCTTCCAGTTCCTGAACTCATTCCCAGGTGTCTGGCCCTGAACACCTCATCACAGTGACCTGGGTGTGCAGGTGTGCTGTCACTCTCACCTGTGAGACTGAGGCTCAGAGAGGCTAGGGCTTCAGAGAGAGGTTGAGCTGGGACCCCACATCAGTCAGGCCCTTGGCCACCACACCATGCCACCGTGCCACCGCGCCACAAGCAGGGTGAGCCAGGGGGCCACCGAGCTAAGGCCTTGCAGGCCTTGTGGGACCCTGGGGACTGCTGAGTGTTGGCTGCGCTCTCAAGAGCCCAGGGCTGCACTGGGTTCCACAGTGAAGAGCCAGGGTGACCCCCATCCCCTTTGCAGGTCTGTGCCTCATCTGTGCCGTCAGCACCGAGCCAATAGGACCATGGGCCAGGTAGGTGTCTTCAAGTCAGGGCGGCAACTCAGGCCTTCGAAGGGGCTCTGACCGAGGAGCTGGTGAATTCTGTGGGGGCCATGGAGGTCCTGTCGTCCTGCAGATGAGAGGCCTGCTGGCCACAGGCTGGGGCCACGTGCATGCAGCGAGAGGGAGTCTGAGCCGGGACTCGAACCCAGGCTAGCGGCACCATGGCCTGATGTCTTTCAGTTTGTGCACGGCCCTCCCTTCAGCTCTGAGGGTTGTGGCTGGTGGTTAGAGCGCCATGTGGACTTGAGTGTCTTCCTGATGGAGACTCTATTTCCAAGTAAGGTCATAGTCACAGGCCCCAGGTAGATGTGAATTTTGGGGACCACTGTTCAGCCCAGCACAGATGCTCCTAAATTATAGCATCCGTGGACTTGTCTCCCACTTCCCAAGCCTGGCTTTCCCGACACAGCGGGCTTGGCTTGGTCCCCTTCAGGGCTGAGAAGGGGTTTTCTGGAAGCCTCTCAATCTGCCTTGGACATCCAGCGGCCGGACCGTCTGGTGGTTCATCCCTGGAGCACTTGTTGAAGTCCTGCTGCTTTTGTTCTGTGATCCCCACTCACAACAGTTCTAGTGATGGGCTTTCAAGACATGTCTAATTCTAGAACTGCTGTAGGGCCTGCTGACCTACCTGCACTCTCAGGAGCGCTGTAGCCCCGGGGCATGTTCACCTCACTCTCCCCCTTGGAGTCCGCTCTGGGCCACTGCTAGACTAGAGATTGCCTTTCCGTGACATCGGGTCCTTTCCGCCTTTGTGATGGGCCGGAAATGTTTCTGCCAGCCCTGCCCTGATGGGGGCATCTTATTATTGTTCTCGTCTCACTGTCTGTCTGCACCGTCTCATTATGAAACTCCAGACATGACCGTGGTGGCCACCAGTGACAGCCGCCTCTGTCTCCTGCATGCTCATCCCCTTGCCACTGTGCTGGTCGTATGTGACTCGGGGCTTCCTTCTTCTCCCTTATTTTCAGGGGCTTCATCCCGCCCACCCCAGAAGGACCAGGGCCAGTTTGGAGTTAGTGTCTCCCTCCTCCCACTTCTTTGGCTTTGATGAAATAGTGGACGGGAATAGGTTATGAAACAAGAGGTTTTTAAATCACCTCTGGCACTTTCTTTCCTGTTGTTTCAGAAACCCATCCCCACAGGTCAGGGAGGATGCCTGAATTTTCTTCCGAATCGATAAATCCGCTGGGCTTCAAATAACACATTCTCTGCATGTGCTTGGCTTGTCTGTGGGAAACTCCAGGAAAGTGTGGGTTGACGTGCATTTGTTGACTTGGCAGGTGCTGCTTGGAGGTCTGGGGAGTGGTGTCCGTGCTGGTCGGCACCTTCATCTTCGGGCAGAGCACAGTGGCAGCCGTCCTGGAGCTCTTGTGAGGGGCGGCCGTGCCTGCGCAGCAGGGGCCGCCACAGGCCGCCCAGCTGCGACACCAGTGTAATTCCATCATAAAGATGCTGGAGAAACCAACCCCTTCGCCTTCCTAGGCTGCTCATTGGGGCTTCTGCTGATGCAAAGGGTTTCTGGTGCAATGGCGAGGAGAATGCTAACAAATGAGCACAGAATGGTGGCTTGAGACAGCAGAATTTAGTCTCTCAGAGTCCTGGGGCTAGGAGTCAGAGGTCCAGGTGTCAGCCGGCCGCCTCTTCCCACTCTCGGGGTTGCTGGCACTGTGCAGCGTGCCTCGGCTTGTAGGCACGTCTCTCTGGTCTCTGCTTTTACCTTGCATGGCCTTCCTCCCTCTGTGTCTGTGACCACTGCCCCCTCTTCTTATAAGGACACTGTGGTTGGATTCAGGCCCAGCCTAATTCCCTATGACTTCGCCTTATGTTTCTTAATGAGGGTCTGCAAAGATCCTGTTTTCAAATAAGGTCACACTCAGGTTCTAGGGGGTAGGACTTAATATTTCTGGGGCACCCACTACAACTACAGGGGCTGAGGCCGAGAGAGCCCTGCTTTGGGGCGCCGGGATCAGAGACATGGGGTGAGGGTAGTGTGCAGTGGAGGACAGGGACTTCAGGTAGCGTCCACGGGGGGTGGAGGGGGACGGGGAATGCAGCAATCCTGCCCATGACTGCGAGGTGCCCAAGGAGATAGATGCCCAGATCTGGCCACACACACTAGCCCCTGGCCCATGCTCCAGTGGGGGCACCCTGCAGACAGCCCCCTTTCCCTCCACTGGCTGGAGGCAAAGAGTCTGGAAGCCTAGTGGACCGGTTTTGCTGCCGCCCCCCAAACAATGTTGCAGTGAGGGGTCAGACTTGCAGTGCAGATGAGAGCACCAAGGTCCATCCCTGGGGCCGGGCAGGGGAAAGGATGGGGGTAGGGGGCGTGGTGTGGAGGTGGGCGGGGTCCCCCGCTCCCCCGTGTTGCTGTGCTTGTCGGCACGGACCCTGCGTGGGCCCAGGGATGCCCTGGGTGTCACTGGATTCAGGCCACTCTTGCTGCCTCGGGACAGCTGGCGTTCCAGGATGCCTCCCTGAAGGTGGGTTCTGTGTGTTATGTTGTGTGACATGCATGTGACTGTGAGGATGGTGGTGATAGAGCCGTTTTCTGTTCCCAGCTTGTCCATGTGCATTATTTATTTTTTTAGCTATAATTCACATACCAAAGAAATCGCCCTTTTAAAGTATGTAGTTCAGTGGGTGTTAGTCGATGCACAGAGTTGCGGAGCCGTCCCCAGTGCCTGATTTCAGCCTCTCACGCCCAAGCAGCCCTGCACCCGTTCGCAGTCACTGCCCACCCCTCGCCCAGCCCCCGCCAACCACAGAGCTGCTTCTGTCTCCACGGGCTTGCCTCTTCCAGACATCTCCTATACAGGGACACATACACCACATGGCCTTTTGTTTGGCTTCTTTGCATTAGCATGTTTTCAAACTTGTCCGTTTTACAGGCAAGTCGACTGAGACTTGGGAAAATCAAGGCCGCCTGTCCTGAGAGGTACAGAGTTAGAGATGGGACTGATTTGGGGTTGAATTTCTTCCTCCGCTTCCTTTCCACTTCACACTCCACTCCTCCAGTGGCCAAGGGGGTGGGAACTGCTGTGCCTGAGCCCCAGGGCAAGGATGGACCCCCGCCCTCCTCCACCCTGGCTGCTGGTGGAGGTGGGACGCTGTGGTCGCAGGCATAGACTCTGACCAGTGAGGGGGACATGGGACCCTGTGCCCTGGCCCACCCTGTGTTCAGCGTCCACGGTGTCCTCCCAGAGGAGGATATGCATCGGGGCAGAATTGCTTTACTGGAGCGCTTATCACCCCAGTGCCGGCAGTGAGAATGGGCAGTCATTTACTAGTTGTACCCTGGGTGCTTCCCAAAGGTGCCCTGGCGCTGGCTGTGAAGGCCGGGACTGTGCGAGGGCCATTCACAGGGCGCCAGAGATAAGAACGAAGCATGACGGGGAAGGGTTGTGCCAAAGAGGCAGGCAGTGTGCAAACTGGCTTTGGAGTTAAGACTACTGGCATGAAATGCTGGCTCTACCATTTGCTATGTGAAGATTTGAGAAGTTTGCAAATTTCTTCCAAGAATCTGTTTTTCCACCAGCAAACTGGAGCAGGGTTATTGCGTATGATGCAATTTGGGATCCGTGTGAGAATTAAAGGTGGTAATGTATCTACAGCTACTAGCAGGGGAGCCAAACAATAAATCTATTTCTAGAAAACCTAGGTTGACATTAGCAAGTAAACGCTGAGCTTCCTGGCAGCCAAGGAAAGCAGGGTCCTATGCGGACACTAATTCTCACCCAAAATTAGCCACACTGGGAAGGAAGTAGGATGCACCAAATGCTAAAAAGAGGTGAGGTGGTGCTGTTTAGGAGGTGACAAATATCACCACTGGGGACATTTTCCATCTCCTTATGTGACAGGTACAGATGTGATCCTCATAGGACTGAGCCTCAAATCGACCATCATAATGCAAAACATAATGCAGCCAAAGCAATGCCGGCTGGGGTGTTGCCGCACATGTCTGATCTACTAAAAAGAGGTCTGTGCTCCACAAAATGAAGGTCTGAAGTGCATCCTTGGACTTCAAGCACAGGCTCTGGGTCTGGAAGGTCGGAGCGGCTCTGCCTGCCACTTACCAGCTGTGTGACCGTAGCCAGACCTGTCCCCCTCTGAACAGCCCCTGTCCTCAGGAAGTCAGGGCCTTTCTTAGCCTGGGCACCCTTCCTCAGTCCTAGCTGAGTGTCCACCCTCTTCCTTCTTCTTCTGGGACCTTGGCTCAGGTCCTCTCCATTCTCCCGCACTGAGGACAGCCCCTCCCTCCCGGGGTAGCCAAGAGGATGAGCTGAGATGTACCTGCGAAGCCCGTGGCACAGAGCCCGGCCTGGAACCAGTTCCTGGTCAATGGCCACACTGGTGCTTGAATGGAGGGACCTACACGTCTCATTTAATGAATGTGAACATGGTCAAGTGACATCTTAAATGACTTGTGCTGCTCTGAGCAGCATGGGCTGCAGGGGGTTCCCAGTTTCCTGAAGAAGCCCCTTTCCACTGGCTCAGGGGCCCCCAAGTAACTGTGCAGGGACACCAGCCTAGGGGGCTGCCGGCCCCGAGCGCCTAGAGTTGCCCACCTCCCAAGGAAGGTTTGGGCTTTGACCTGGACGTGGCAGAGGTGTGGACCAGCCACTGCGTGCAGGTGAGCTGATTGAGACTTTTGTTGTTGTTAATTGAGATAAAATTCATGTAACACCGGTGTACTGTTTGGTGGCATTTAGCATATTCACAGTGTTGTGTGACCCCCACCTCCATCTGGTCCCAAAGCATTCTCATTGTCCCCAAGAACCCGCACACCCATCAGCAGTCGCTCCCTCCTTCCTCTTCCACCAGCCCCTGGTGACCAGGAATCTCTGTCTCTGTCAGTTGATCTATTCTGAACACTTTGTATGCATGGGATCCTACACACGTAGTCCATTGTGTCTGGCTTCTTTCACTTAGAACAATGTTCCCAAGGCTCACCCATGTTGTTGCGTGTCAAAGCTCCATTCCTTTGCATGGCCGAGTCACATTCCAATGTCTGGATAGAGCACATTGTATTTGTCCATCAGCTGATGGACATCCGGCTTGTTCCTGTCTTTGGCTGTTGGGAATAGTGCTGCTATGAACGTCTGCATTTGCTTCAATGCGTCTTTTCAATTCTTTTAGGCTCAGCACACACAGATGTACCCAGGAGTGGACTTGCCGAGTCATGAGGTAATTCTGCCTTTCACTGAGGACCACATGCATTGGGATGTTTATGCATTAGTCCGCAGGTGTTCTCCCCCGTATCTATGCTGTGTGCTGCAGCAGTCAGGGCACAGATTTGAGGGCAGAGAGCTCCGGGTCTGGGTGTGGGGTGCCACTTGCTGTGTGACCCCTGGTGAGTGACTTGCCCTCTCTGTGTCTCCATTTCCCCACCTGCTGATCACAGGATGGCACAGGTGGCACTGAGGGAGACGGTGCCTTCCAAGTGCCTGGCCCCATGGCGTAAATTAAGTGGGCGCACTCGCACCTTGTAGGGTTGACATTTGTTCTCTTCAGAGCCCATTTCCACCCACTCAGAACTGAGGCGGCTCTAAGTTGCCTGTGGGCTGCAATCAGCAGAGATGCTACGGTGGGGGCAAGCGGGGTGTGATGTGCGACAGAAGTGCAACTCTCCCAGCTGCCGGTGTCCCTCAGTGGTGCCCCAAAGAGCCTCAGCCCCTGTGAATAGTACTTTTTAAATAGCTGAGCCGATTGGGACCGCACCAGCCTTGGGGTAGGGGGGTGGGGGCCACTGTACAGATGCTGCCAGCAGGACCCGAGCAAGTGGTGTTTTCAGTTCCTGATCTTCAAAGTAGGGGTCTTCTCCCCACTTTACAGACAAGGGAGAGAGGCTGGGTGCAAGGAAAGTGGGCTCAGAGATGCACCGCTGGCACTTGAACCTGCCTTTTACTCTTCCCACAAGCCATGTAGTTTTACTGGTTTTGCGTGAGCAGCCAGCATCGAGCCTTGTGAGGAGGTGGTTGGGAGTGGTGGGACCCCAGGCAGGAAGGACCTGCCTCACAGAGCAGGGTGGGCCAGGTTCCAGGCAGCCAGAGGGGGCAGGGCAGGGTGGGCAGAGACCTCGGCCCATGTGATGGCTTTAGTAACCACCACATATCAGACTGGCTACTCCAGGCTTGGAGCAGGCGGGAAAACGCACATCCGTGGTCCTGCCTCCCTGTACAGGACTCCCACTGTGCCCGGCTCACTGCTGCCCATCTTAGGGCCTGTCACCTTCCTTCCTCCTCCCCAGGCCTGTGCTGCTCTTCGTATCTGCCCCCACCTGCTCCCTCTCCCTCCCTTAGGGAAGGGACCCATGGCTCTCTCTGTCCCTTAGGATTTTTGTGTGACATCCTTCCTGCTAAACGCAACAGGGAGACAGAAGCAGGGATGTCACAAAAGGTTCCAGAACAGGATGTAAACGTTATTTCTGGGCTGGGGTCTCAGTGTCCTGTCTGGTGGGAAGACCTCACAGACAGGTGTGCAAGGAAGAGGAGCTACGCCCAGTCTCCCGGGAGGCGAGCTCTGGGACCTTGGCCTGTCCTTCCTATGAGTGGCTTTGTTTACCTGGGGCGCTTGGGCCAACTGGGACCAGTCCAACCTTCAGAGGGGCTGGAAGTCAAGGTCAGCCATGTCTGCACGACCAACCACAATGAAAACTCTGGTCACGGCTCTGGTGAGCATCCCTGGTGTGCAGGCTCCGTGCATCGTGTGGCCCATTAGTGCCGGGGGACGTGGTGCCTCTGCAGCACTCCACGGGGAGGGGACAGCTCAGGCTGTGAACGGGGGCATCTGGGACCTGACCCACGTCACCGCCTGCCTCTTCTCCCCTCTGCCGACTTCGGTCTGCACCTTCCGCTGCCATCATCTGTGACTGCACATATGGTGGCCTTGATGAGTCCGGTGAGTCCTTCTACTAGGTTATTAAAACAGGGTGGTCTTGGGGACCCTGAACTTTGAAACAGGCACAAAGTTATTTGTTAAAATAGGTACCTCCTGGTTGTCACCTCCATTTTACAGAGAAGAAAGCTGAGGCTCTGGGTGACCTGGTCCAGGTTTCATGGCTAATTGGGGGCCCTGGGCACCCGACCACCTCACTCCCCCAGCGGTGAGCAACTGGAAAGAGGGAAGCAAACACGCAGTGTGTGGCTATTCCCAGCCAGAGTTTATTTGGCGCCTGTCGCCGCGGCGGTGGTGTGCCTAGCATGGCACTGACTACGTGGGCTCTGCTGCCACAGGGGACTCGGCACAGGCCTCGGTTGGGCACTACGGGGTCTTGGCTCCTATCAGGTAGAGGAATATCAACAGGAGTGGAAGAGATGGAGGGGGCTGCAGAGGGGGTGAGTCTTGCTGAGGCCAGAGTAGGCCTGGGCAGTGGGGCACCGGGCATGCGTGGCCATTCGGTTGGGGCGAGGGGTGAGGGCGCAGGCTCTGGCTTCAGCAGGGCCCCAGCCACTCACACAACGGGGGTGGGGGGACACCGGGGAAAGGGGTTCGCCTTCACATCAAACAGTGGGAAAATACATTCTTGTTTGGAAGTATATTGAAAAGACAGCACATGTACCAAAGTCTCTAGAAAAGAAGAGACGTCCTTTAGAAGAAGGGAGGGCAGGGTGCCAGGCTCATCCGCAGGGTGTGTGTTGGGGCCCATCAGTCTCGGCCTACAGTGCACCAGGCAGCTAGTGATGGGGCAAAAGAGAGAGAGTTGTTGGGGACCCGCAGCACCTTGTCCCGTGGGGGCTGAACCGAGGGGCCGAGCAGACCCCTGCGCACCGCCAGCCAGGGCCCGCCCTGTGGAGCCTGCCTGGCCGCCCGCCGGTGCAGGGGCGGCTGCGTGGAGCAAGGCTTTGGGCTTTTTCGGGGGGTGCAAAGGTGCTTGCTGGCTGGTCTGGTGGCACACCCCACGCCCGCGGACGTGACATCGGTCAGGCTGCCCTGGCCTGTGGGCCGCTTTCTGCGCCTGCGTCTCACTGGGCTCAGGGCCCCTCCTGGTGCTTGGGGCCTCCAATCTCATCTGAGGCCGTTTCTGCGGCCACTCCTTTTGTTCTGAGGTTCCAGGGCCAAGCTGTGTCTCCGGCCCTGTCCTTCCACTCTGGGACTTTGGGGGTTGGCCGGCACTCCTGATCCTGGCCTCCTCCCCTCTAGGACCCCCCTCTGCACACCTGGCACCGACGTGGAGCACTCCCTTGTGGGCTACGATTCCTGGCAGCTAAGGGAGCAGAATAAAGGGTCAGTGGAAGATTCGGGCCTTGGCCTTCCTCCAACTCAGCATCGGGGCCTGGAGATGGCCACTGAGCCTGTGGGAACCAGGGGCCGGTGGCATCGGCAGTGCTGGTCCGGGCCCCTCCCCGCCTGCCCGCTACCTGGCACTGAGATCCTGGAGAGGGCCTCGGGCTGGCTCAGCGTGTCCACCTTGACGTGCCGGAAGGCCTTGCACACGGGGCTCTGCAGGTGCCTGCAACCCAGGGGGCGCTGGTGAACCCTTGGGGCTGGGCCAGGGAGCCTCTGGGACAGGCACTGGGGCTGTGGTCCAGTTCTAATCCTGGCTCTGCCCGGGATGGGGGTCTAAACCCCCGTCAGCCAATCTCAGGGCTCAGAGCCATCATGTGAAGAGAAGATGGTCAGGCCCCGGGAGGCCAATTGCTGCGGCCCCCACAAAGTGCACGATAGGTTTGGGGGGAATAAGAGCTTGTTTCTTGCCTCCCCGTTAGTGTCCTTCATGAGATAAGTTTTCTGGTTTTTATCCTGCAGAGTAGCAGTTTTCAAACAGCAATGGCCTTAGCTTCAGGTTCCAGGGCCAGGAACCTGGATTCGGAACCCAGCTGAGTGGGAGGAGGGAGGGTGCACCCCATGCTGAGAAACGCTTCCTCCCACTGGCTCAAGGGCCCGCTCCAGCCAATGAGGCCAGCATTCTGGGTCACGATGCTGCTGGAACATGGACTCATCATTCCCCTCCCCTCTCTTCCCCCTTCATCCTCTCCCACACTATCTGGGACAAGGGCTGGGGAGCCAGGCAGCCCCACCTCCCTGCGCCCTCCTATCACCCAACCAACTGCTGCAGGCCGGGGGGTTAGCACACATGGCGGCGCGTACCTCTTCCACTCCTCCTCGGTCTCCCAGAACTCGTAGACCACAAAGGTGAAGCCGTCTGCCAGCCTCCCAGCGGCAATGCTGCACAGGGAGAGGAGAGGTCGGACTGGTGGACCAGCCCGTGCCGCCCAGGGGCCTGCCCCTCGAACCGTGAGCCTGGCAGAGGCTGGAGCACCCAGGGCTGTTCCAGGACAGGCAACCAGTTTGTCACCAGCCCAAGGCCATGACCCATCATGCTACTGCCTTTCTGATGGAAGCAACCCACAGCCTCCCAGACCAGCCACAGAATCCAATCGGTTCAGCATGTACCCCACCATCTGGAGCAAGGCCTGGCCCCAGATCGTGGCCAATATGTGTCTATTGAATGAATTATAATAAAATGTCATTTTAAAGGCCTAATATTCATTTTCTCCTCTCATGCTCTCCTTCACAACCATCACTTCATTTAATCCCTGACACAATCCAGGGAGTCAGAATAGGCTCACTGAGGCTGGGGGAGGGCCCTGCCCTGGGTGGGTGGTCCTAAAGGTCCCAGGTCACGCCTGTGTTACCTGTGTGACATGTCAGCGGCAGGCCACGCACCTCGATTTAAACAGGACTGGTGCTACCTGGACCTCGAGACAAGGCAAGGGGGTGTTTCCAAGAATGTGGCAGGCCTGCGGGGACTGAGGGCTGACCTCCAAGAGTAGGTCGCCGGTAACACTGCCCCTCTGGCCTCTCACCTGCACTCCCGGCTGCTCGGCTGCTTCTGTTTTCACCAGCTCAGCAGAACAGAGCCCCCGAGACTTCCTTGGGGGGAGGGCCCCGCCATGGGTGGGGGCTGCTGTGTGATTACAGGCAACTCCGGGTTTTGCCACCGGGATAGAAGCAGGGAAACAAGGCTGCTAATAGCATCATTAGTTCATTACGCTGTAGCTGAAATTACAGGCGGAGCTGTGGGCTGGTAATTCGATGAGAGGATGGGGGCCGGGTACTAGAGCTGCCCACTGATCAGACAGAGCCATGGCCTTTTGCCAGAGTCAGAAGGGGCTGCTTGGGGGCCCTTCTCTCTGCGACAAAGGTCACTGGAGCGATTTGGTGCCTCTAAGTGCGGTAACTGCAGAAGCTGAAAGCAATCATGGTGATTGAATTTGCTCAGCTGATGAGGCACTGACTTTTTTTTTTTTTTTTTGGCAGCAAGTACCCCTGGGAAAGAAGACACAGCAGGCAGGCATGGGGTAGAGGGAGGACACAGTATGAAGCCCTACTGTGTGCTGCCTGTGTGCAGAGGAGGGGCGGCAAGGCCCCTCACCACTCTACCCCACCCAGCCCTGCTTCCCCCCCCACCCCCCCCACCCCCGTGTTTACGCTGCCACTGTGGCTTTCAGTGCCATCTGCATGCCCACCACTCCCAGCCCGCCCTCGCCCAGGCCCTCCGTACTCCTGTGTCTGTGCCTTGCCTGGCGTGCACAGTTAACGTGACCCAGACGGCCTGTGTGACTCCTGTGCACCAATGTGCTTGACCGGCCCGCATCCGAGGTCAGGACACGGCACCAGCTTCTGTCCGGTTTCCCCAGCCAGGGCAGCTCAGATTCCAGATGCCTCGTCTCCTCCTCCCACACCCCTTTTCCCGCCACCAGCAAGTCCTGTCAGATACACACTCCAAGACAGATCCCTGCTCTAGCCACGTCTCTCTGAGGGTGGGCCCCTCCCCAGGTGGCAGCAGGGCCTCTCTCCCCCTGGCCACTCTGCGGCTCCCTGCTCCCACCCAGCCCTCCTGCACACAAAGGAGACCAGACCCTGTCTCCCTCCTGCCTGCGGCATCTGCACGAGGGTCCACTGCACTCCAAATGAGCAGGGCAGAGACTAGTGGGTCTTGCCCACCAGCCCTGGTGTCGCCCCTGTCCCGCCCCGATTGCCCAGATTCTGCAATCTGGGGCCTCAGGGCTCAACGACAGACAGCCTCTTCCCTCCCCACAGCCCCTTCCGTCTCTGGAAGGGCCTTGCTTCCTGGCCTCCACAGCACCTACCACCCTTCAGAATCATCTTTGTCTGCTCCTCTCCCACCGCCTACAATAAAGGTTTGGCAAGAGCAGCCACCTGATTCACAGCCGTATCCTCAGGGCCCAGCCCCCAGGAGGAGGGTGAAGGCACACAAGCTCTCAAGGTAGAAAAAGCAAACTGGAGAGAGAATTGAGGCAAAGAACGGCAGGGGCAGAGGCCACGGCTACTGTCCTGAGCACGGACAGGAGGGGAGAGAATCTGGCAGCTTGTGCCTACAGCCCTTGGAGACCACCCTCAGCAAGGGTGAGGGCTGTCCTCTTTTGTGACCCAATATGGTGCGGCCAGAGCCCCTGGTTCACCTTTTCCAAGAAGCAATGCAGACCTCATTAGCTGGGACCAGAAGGTGAGACACAGAGGGGCAGCCGCACAGTAAGAGCAGCAGCTGACACTGAGCAAGCTCTGCGCTCCAGACACAGGCCTAAGCCCTTTCCATCTGGTCTTCCGTTTACAGCTCCAGCAACCCCTGGGAGGAGGTCCAGTCGGGTCCCACTCCACAGGTGGGCAAGCTGAGAGGACATCACTCGCCATGTTTGCTCAATGGGGAAGAGCCTGCCCTAGTACTTGAACTCCGCTTCCCTGACCGCCCTCGCTAGGCGCTTCCCCGGGGTAGCTGGTTTCCTTGGGGGTGGTCCTGCGCTGCCCGCCATCCCCAGGTGGAGTTCCCGACCACCACCCAGCCCTGCAACTACTCACTGGAAGCAGTTCCTGGCTCCAGCGGTGCCCCGCAGGTACTGGCGCAGGGAGTCCAGGAACTCGCTCAACTGCTCGGGGCACACGGCCATCTCCTGCCGGACCAGCTGCAGATGCTATGGGGCCATGCAGGGTGGGGGGTGAGCTCCTGCCAGTTCCCTGACAGTGCCCTCCCCTGCACGACCCCCTAGCCCCATGGGTAGAGGCCAAGACCCAGGCTCCCTGAACCTCCCACCAGAGAGGACAGGACAATTTGGTCGAGATAAACAAAAGCCCATGTGCACACATTTTTCATTCTTACACAGGAACGCTGGCTAAAAAGAATAAGACATTAAGAAGGCAAATGTAGGTAGTAGCCCTACAAACGCTGAAAAACAGGCAAGGGTGTGTAAAGAGGCTCTATGCGGTCCAGAGCTGCCCGCAAGGCATCGGGTCTGAGATGCGACAAAGCCAGTGACCAGGGAAGCTAATTTCTGATTGAATGCATGCTGTGATGTCACCATCTTGCTGATCACTTTGTTCCAGGCCAAATCTTTTTTTGATCAAAGCCCTGGCATCTCAAAGAACACCCGTGGAAGGGGAGGGTGACCAAGTACTGGGGCCCCATCTCCCCACATGGTAGTCCCTGGGGGTGGGTGGCAGGGCCATTGAGCCACCTGCATCTTAAGTCCTGGGCTCAGGTAGGGATGAGGCCACAGGAGAAGTGAGGCCTCAGGGGAGGGGCCCTCACCATGTTGGTGCCTTCTTCATCCGAGAGGCGCTGCTGCAGGTCAAACCAGAGGGTCTGGAACAAAACAGGAAGTCATGCTGGAGACAAAGGCCACCTTCATCCGAGAGGCCTCCAGGACCACCACAATGACACCAGAGCACCCAGGGCCAGCACAGAGCTCCAGCCCCTCTGTGCCAGGGTCCCAGGGAGTTCCCCAGGCTAGAGGGAGCTCCCAGGGGCCAGGCCTCACTGGACAGGGCTCAGCCCACCCTCCATGCACAGTGCCGGCTCAGAGGGGACCCAGGGACCAGGCTGGGAGGCCAACCATATCAGAAGTGGTGGGGATCCCTTCTGGCCCTGGCATCTGGGGACACTGGGAGCCACAGAGATCGAGCAGACCTACTGCAGAAGCCACGAAGTAAGCCCTGTTTTGGGGGTAGATGGCAGGCAGGCCTTGAGAGAGAGAGAGGCAGCAATTGGGACACAAGAGTCCTGCATCCAAGATGCTGGTCCTTTGCTATAACTGCCGACAACAGCCCTGTGATTCCACATTGACTTACAAATCACTTCAGTCTCAACCCCTGTGCCTCTTAAATCTAAAGGTCTGAATGGGGTGTCTATTTTCCCTGGCCTTTCACAGGCCCTGGGCTAAATGCTTTACAAATACACCTTAGTTAACTTCCCAGACTGCCTGAGGTAGGAGTGCTCTGCTGTAAGCTTCGGGGAACAGGGACCCTTGCACGATATTCACGGCCACAGGCTGGTGTCCAGAACAGGGCCCAGGATCTCACGAATGCTCAGCGGGCACGACTGCTCACTTTAGCAGGGAACCCTGGGTTCCAAAGGCCACAAAAGGAGCCTGGCTTTCACCCGGGGGCTTCCCTCCTCCTGACACAGGTTCTTCCCACTATAACGTGGAGACTTCCCCAGTAAATGCCACCTCCGTGCCCAGCCCTGCCTGTCTTTCCTGAGGACAGCCTGGGTCTCTGCTGCAATCACACACCCACGTCCTTCTGCTCCCGCAGACCATGCGTATGGCCCACTGGCTTGTTTTTAAGGAAAACAGCCTGGCAGATGTATTGGCCTGTGATCTGTGCAGTCATCCCTTGAAATTCTGAATGTTTGAACAAGGGGCCCTGCAGGCTCATTTCGCACTAGACCCTGTAAATCACACGGCTGGTCCTGGAGAGGATGCTGACTTTCCAGGACACCCAGTGTACACCTGCTTTGTAGGTAAAGAGCCAAGGTGTGTTTGCCAGAGGCAAGTCTGTTACCATTGTTTTACAATCCTATAGGTGGTCTCCTAGAGAGCAGGGGTTGTAACTGGGTCCCTTGGCTTCTTCTGGCTGGCAGGGCCACAGGAGGATGAGGATGAGGGGAAGATGGGAGAGTCACAATTGTACCCCCCTCGTACCTGTTCCCAGCCTGGCCACCCCAGAACTCCACCCTCCAGCCCCACGCAGAGCCAGGAGTGGCTCAGGTTGGCCTATGGGGGTGGGGCTGGGAGCCAGCCCTGGATTGGGCCAATCAAAGGCCGGCGAGTAGGGCCCCGCCCCATCTCCAGGATGCCCAGGTGCTCACAGTTGCCAGCCAGCCGGTTGTTAAGGCGACCAGGGCGCTAAAAATAAGCTTCAAAGAGCCTCCCTCCCGCAGGCTCCAGTGGAGTTGTTATGACAACCGGGCCACCAGGTCCTGGGACTGCTCCACCCAGCAGCGGCTCTCTTAAGGGGCGATCCTACCTTGGCCTCAGCCCTGCAGGAGGGATCACTGCTTCCCTCCAAGTACCCCCCACCCTGCTGCACCCCCCCCCCCCGGCCAGGCCCCATCAAATACCTCAGAACCAACCCCCAAACCCATCAAAGTACTTTTTTTTTTGCCCTTTTGCAAAAGATGTAAGAAATTCAGAAAAGTCAGAGAAGTGTGAAATTGCTGCAACCCAGGGCTCGGAGATCCTTGGTGTATGTAGGTATACAGATGTGGCACATGCAGCTGTATAGTTTTTGGCACCAGAATGTCTAATAATAATTGCTAAAACAGCTAATGTTAAATGCTAACTTCACAGCAGGCTCTGCGCTAAAGCTTTAAGACATTATTTTATTTATTCCCCACAATAACCCTGGGAGCAGTAATAATCCCTGTTTTCCCCTCTATTGTTAACAGGAAGCATCTTGAGGCTCAGGGAGGGTAAGTCACTGGCCCAAGGTCACACAGCTGTTCAGTGGTATGGCCAGGATTCAAAGAGGGCAGCCTGATGCCTGACTCTGTTTGGAAACTTTAAGGCAACCAGTTTTCTTTCCAAGTAAATCATCATTGTTATGGGCCGAGCTGTGTTTTCCCCCAGCTGAAGGATCAACCCCCAGGACCCCAGAATGTGACTACATTTGGAGATATGGCCTTTGAAGAAGTATTTAAGTCAAAATGAGGTCCCAGGACCGGGCCCTAATCCCATATGCCTGGTGGCCTTATAAGAAGAGATTAGGACACAGACACACACAGACGACCCACCACGTGAGGACGCAGAGAGAAGATGCCTGTCTGCGAGCCAAGGTGAGAGGGCTCAGAAGGAACCAGCCCCGCCCACACCCTGATCTCAGACTGCCAGCCTGGGGCTGTGAGGGAATGGATGTTGATTAAGCCCTGGCCTGTGTATGGTAAGTAGTGATGGCAGCCCTGGGAAACTGACACAGCCTTATTGTGGGTACCTACTGAGTCACGAGCCATCATAGAAAACAGGATTCTGTACAGGCTGGGTCACTTTCTATTACCTGTGGATGTGCCATATCACAGTTAAAAGGCTGCAGGGTACTGGTCACTCAGGCTGTGACTCACCTGTCCTGGATGTCACCATCCCTCCTCACTACCATGCCGTGTCTGAGCTCTTTGGCCCAGGCCCCTTCAAGCTCCTTGAAGCTCTGTCCCCTTGCCTCCTACAATCTTGCTGACTACCATCTGCTCCTTGAGACACCCTCCCTGGCTACCCACCCATCTCTCCGGGGCCCCATCTTCCCCCAGGCATCTCTCTTTGAGCTTGTACAAGGGACGCAGTTCCGGGGTCTGTCCGCGCCATGCCCTTTCCCACACTTCAGTGGGTGATGCCTTTCCAAGGCTCCCAGACTTCTGTCCCCAACTCCTGGCCTATCAGCCCTGCCTGGGGGCTGGGACTGTGGAGGGGAGAAGGTGGGGCTCAGTGACCTTACCTTGGTCTCCAGCCGTCCTATTAGCTCTGCCAGACGGCTGATCTGGGCTTCCAGGCCCTCCTCCTTGGGCTCTGAGGTAACTGGGAAAGAGGAACAGAGACCGTGATGTTGGGCAGGCCCAGGCCTCTGGGAAGGGGGCTCTCAGCCTCCCCAGAGGCCAAGCCCTGCCTTCTCCCTCCCAGTTCCAGTCCCACTTGAAGGCCCAGGTCCCATGTGGGCCATTGTCAGAATTCCCTCCAGGACCCCCACCCAATTCCCTGAGCCCGGGCCACCACAAGCTCTTACCAGAAGGCAGGCTCTTCTCTTGTTCCGTGGCCATGAGCTTGTGGCTGGAGGCATAGGGGGCAGTGGGGCTTCCATACCAGGTCTGCACCGCGCCAGGGCCGGGCTTGCTGTGGTTCTGGCTGCAGTGGGAGTAGGAGACACGCACACCATGAGGGAGGCCATAGCACCCTGCCCTCTTGGGCATCTCTGACTGCTGTTAAGCTGTGCACTGAAACATCCTTAGTTCACTCCATGGAGCCCATCCCTGTAAAGGCTGAGACCACGCAGCCAGTGGGGCAGTGAGATAGGGACTCGGCCCATGTCCCGTTCCAGGGAGGTTCAGTTCCAGGCCCCTGCCTCCACTGAATGGCTCACAGTGTCCCCTCTCCCTGGCTGCCTCACTAGGAGTCAGTTTAGTGCCCTGTGGTGTGGGGGGGGGCTGGATTTGCACCCTCTTGGGAATAGGGAGCCTAAAGACATAGTCCAGAGTAGGCACATGACAAGACAGTGAAACCTGTGATTCTGACCTCAGGTCCCAGAGAGAAGGGCCAGGCCTGATGGCCGGACCCCAACCCCACCACGCACACTCCATGCCCACACGTGTGGCTCCCGACAGGCACACACAGCTCACCGAGCACCGTGCCCGGCACAACAGCAGGGGCTCAGCCAATGCTCAGTGACCGTCTGAACACCTCGTGCAAAGAGATGCTGGAAAACGTAGCATAAACATACAAATACACACTGACATGTGTGTCTACATATAACACACACATGCCTATGTGGGCTTGGGCAGCACTGCCTTGTGTGTTCTGGAATTTGTGAACCTGAAAGCTCCCAAGTCCCCCCGTGCAGACGGCGAACCCAACTGCCCCAAAGTACCAGGAGGACATGGAGTCTTTGAGGTGTCAATCCTGGTGGCTCTACAAACCAGCAGCAAATTTAATATGACCATGACCTGGGGCAGCGGGAGTCCCTGGGGCAGTGGGGTTGGATCCACTGCTTGTGCCTAAAACACAATATCCGAGACTTCTGCCAAGATGGAGGTATAGGTGGATGTGCCGTGCCTTCTCACACAACCAAGTTTAGGGACAACTAAATATTAGCATCAGAAAACACAACCAGAACACGGAAAATTGAACTTTTCGGAAGTCCGTTAACAACAAATTCTTCAGCCTGACCGGTGAGGGGCGAAACTGGAGTCTGGTGAGGGGTTGCACAGGAGGACTTGGTCGGACGGACCCAGGCGCGGAATCTAGACTCACGGGTTCCAAATGCAGGATTGGACCTAGTGAGCGACCGAGCAACCCACCAGGTGAGCGACTGCAGAGGAGACAGTGGGGAGGCGGTGCTGCGTGTTGACTGCGGTCGCCTATTTGCGCGAGAGCGGACAGGCGAGGGAGTGGGCGGTTGGACCGGTAGTGGGCGCCGCCATTTCCCCGCTCTGACCACGCCTCCACATACAGCATCACAACCCAGCGACCTGGGAGTCCAAGGCGCCGCTTCTCTCACTTAAAGGGCCAGAACAGACTAAAAATGTCGCAAGAAGACCTCAAAGCCCCAGAGATAAATCTAAGCGACGAAGAAATAGCAAAACTCTCAGACGCACAGTTTAAAACACTGGTCATCAGGATCCTCACAGATCTGGTTGATTATAGCCACAAATTAGAGAAACATATGAAGGCTAAACTAATGGAAATGAATGGAATTCCACAGGACACCAATAGCAATGAAAAGGAAACTGGGACTCAAATCAATGGAGTGGACCAGAAGAAAGCAAATAATGGCCAAACACAAAAGAGTCAAGGAGCAAGAATTCAAAGAAATGAGGAGAGTCTTAGGAACCTCCAGGACATCTTTAAACGCTCCAATATCCGAATTATAGGGGTACCAGAAAGGGGAAAGGCACAGCCACCAGTGGAAAACTTATTTGAACAAATAATAAAAGAAAATTTCCCCAATCTGGCAAAGGAAATAGACTTCCAAGAAATCCAAGAAGCTCAGAGAGTACCAAAAAAGTTGGACTCAAGAAGAAACACACCAAGGCACATCATAATTACATTAGCCAAAATTAAAATGAAGGAGAGAATCCTAGAAGCAGCAAGAGCTAAGGGGACAATCACCTACAAAGGAGTCCCCATCAGACTGTCAGCAGATTTCTCAAAAGAGACCTTACAGGCAAGAAGGGGCTGGAAAGAAATATTCCAAATCATGAAATCTAAAGACCTACAACCAAGATTGCTCTATCCAGCAAAACTTTCATTTAGAATGGAAGGACAGATAAGGTGCTTCTCAGATAAGATCAAATTCAAGGAGTTCATCATCACCAAGCCCTTATTATATGAAATGTTAAAGGGACTTATCTAAGAAAAAGAAGTTAAAGAAACATGAACAGTGAAAGGACAACAAACTCACAGTTATTAACAACCACACCTAAAACAAAAGCAAACTACAAGGACACCTAGATCAGGAGTGGAAACATAGAAAAGAAGATCTCAAGGAGGGTTAGCAACAGGGGAATGGGAGGAGGAGAAGGGGGGAGAAGGTACAGAAAATAAGTGGCATAGACAGTAGATAGAAAATAGATGGGGGGGCAAGAATAGCATGGGAAATATAGAATCTAAAGGACTTGAGACACATGGTCATAAACTAAAGGGGGGGTAATGGTGGGGATGGGGGGCAGGGGGGAGGGGAATGAAGGGGGGAATAGAACAACTGTAACAGCATAATCAATTAAAAAAACAAAACAAAAAAACAATATCCTCAGGGCCTGGGAACAGAATGGCCTAAGGGGACTTGCAGCCCGGGGAGCTGAGATTGGGGGCGGCCTGAGGTGGCAGTGAGTGTGGAGCAGACGTGTCTCCCAGCCACCAGCCTCCCAAAGCAAGGTCCCAGTGTGGGGGTGGACATGTGATGGAACTAGGAGAGCGCAGGATATCGGCTACGAAAATCATGCAGCCGTCTTATCTGTTCTACCACAGGATAAAAATGGCAAGTTTTGAATCAGGATAGTGATAAAAAAGGAAGGCAATCTGCCAGCTTCCAGAGCTGTGGCGAACTTTGGGGACCCTCAGAATCTCAAGACTGATCACAGATACAGAGCTCTGGGCTCTGTCCCCAGGGATCCAATCCGGGTGGCAGAGCTGGGGGGCCCAGGGACCTGCCTTCCCATTTCCCAGGGGATTTGGTTGCAGGTGCTCAGAACAGTATCATCTCGTGGCTTTGCAGCCACATGTGACTGTGACCAAGCCCCTCAGCAACCGAAAACACACACTCCCACCCCCACCCCACAGCAACCAGCACCCTGCCATACCTGGCCTCTGCCCAGGAAACCTGCGGCCACACACAGAAACTCAAACACCAGTAATGCTTGGCCCAGAAACGTGGCTCTAGCTCCTGTCTATCTTTATTTCCCCCCTACGCCAGGCACATCAAATGTTCTGGAAAGAACAGGCAAGAAGAAGTTGGTCTCATCTCGGGACAGTAAATGCAAGGGCTCGTGGCCCCCAGAGCTGGCAACTGCTGAGCCAGAATTATCCCTGCCTAGACACAAGGCTCGCCACCTCCACAGTGTCGCCACAGAGGGGGGACCCCAGAAGCTGTTCCGTGGCTTCGAGGGCACACAAACAAGGCCTTAACTCTAAATACACTGTAAGAAAATTGCTCCACTTCACTTCTCTTCAGTCCTTGGAGAAGGTCTGACTTGGTGCTGCTCTGCCCGCGATGCCTTGGTCTGGGGTCCCGTCTCTGTCCCACAAGGAGGGAGCGGCCTCAGGACTCCCACTGACAGCAGGTGCCGGGTTTTACAGCGACTTCATTCACGGCCCACAATGCTTGCTTACCAGTTGTGGTAACCACATACTGTTTTCAAAATTCATTGCCAATTTTCAAAAATATGTCAAGCAACAGAACAGGTAAAAAATAATGTGCGTGGTGTGGGGACGTGGCAAACATTAGAGTTTAGGAATAGCAGTAACTGTACTACGTGTTGTAGGTCGTACCGCCTGCACCCCGCGTGTTCTAAGCAGACGTCACCTCACTCAGTCCGCACAGGCACTGAGGAGGCAGGTACAGAGCTGTCCCCACGTCACAAGTGGAGGCGCAGAGAGTGCACAGAGTGCAGCAGCTTGCCCACAGCCACCCAGCTCTCAGGTACAGAGACACCCCTGCCCCGAGCAGTAGGTTGGGGCGTGTGTATGTGCGCAGCGTGCCCCCATGTGACCCTGCGAGGTCCCCTGGACGCACCGGATCTGGCTTGTCTGCTCTTCAATGGCCTCCACTGCACTCTCCACGGAGCTCAGCAGCGACTGGATCTGATTGGCCGTCTCCTTCAGGAGGAAGCGGGTCACGAACTGGTCCACGTTGCTCCCGCCCTCGTATACCTGTGGATGGGGAGGAAACTGGGGTGTAGGGTCAGACGGAGTTGGGGGAACACCTGAGGTCTATGGGAAGGGTCCCAACCCGCTACTTCCCATGGACTCAGGGACCAAGGTCTGAACCCTGGCATCACCAATTACTGGCTTAGGGACCTCTATGGCCAGACCAGCAGTCACTGAGGTGTCTACTTTTCAAGGTCACAGCGAGGATTGAATGACAAAATACATATACACGTAAAATGCTCAAGCACAGTGCCTGTCACGACATGGCAAATCAATCAACAGCAGCTGCTGTGATAAAGATGATGGTGGTAACGATAATAAAGACGGTGACGGGGTGACAGTGAAGACAGTGACATGATGGAGGTGGTGATGATGCTGACGCAGACAGTGGTGGTCACGGTGGCTACGATGAAGTGATGATGATGGTGGAGGGGGTGGCAATCAGTGGGGCTGTTCCTGAGGGGGCTGTGGACAGGGGTAAAGTCTCAGGGGGAATGATGCACTACCTCCTCTTCCCTTCCTCCTCCAGGGAGGACTTCGGGCCTCTGGGCCTTCATGCCCGCTACCCAGAAAAGTGAGAGAGAAGGAAAAGCGGCTGAGAGCTTGCACTACTCCCCAGGGAACCTGCCTGAGACCCAGTGCTGAGAGGGAGGGGCCAGGGGAAGCGAGGAAGAGCAGAGGCCATGGGAGAGGACTCTGGGGAAAAGATGGCCGAAGAGGGATTTCTGTAAGTTTTGCTCTGGAGACCTGAGACAGAATTTCCCCTTTTGTTAAGAAGAGACTGCAGCGAAGACATTTCTTCAGGTTTCTGGAGCTGGCTGTCTCTCTTGGCTGCACAAGGCTTCGCAGCGGAAGGGAGGGAGCTCTGGTTTAGCCAGGGTACTGGTGGAGGATGGCAATCAAAATGACATGGTGTTGGGAGACGCTGGCCCCAAACCCTCGCGCTGTTCTCCTGCCTCGCCCACCAGGCCTGACCTTCCACAGCCACCTGCCCTGGGGAAATCTGGAGTTCTGCTCAGTCTCCGGCAAGGGAACACAGGGCTCTCAAGGAAGGCAAATTAAATAATCCATCACTCTGACTGGGAATTAATTAGAAATAATTACACTATGGGAAACATGGCTAGACAGAGAGATGGAGGCCGGGGTGGGGAGCAGGGACAGAAGGGTGGGGTGCAGAGAGGCTAAAGGCGGGGGCACACAGAGGAGGTGGATGCGTTGGGCTGACCACCAGACAAGGCGTGCTGGGGAGAGAATGAATCCGTGAGTTCCTGGGAGCCCGACACGCTGCCAGGTCAACTATCCTTCCTGGCAGCCGAGTGAGCTCACATGCAATCCGGTGGCCAATGGGCTCTGGACAAACAATGGCCAAAAATGAACAAGATGCTTGGTGATGAAAAAAACATTAAACACAAAGAGAAAGGCTGCTGGAGGCCATCAAGCAGGAAAGTGAGCTCAAGTAAGCGGGTTAACAGTGCCCAGGTCAGTGAGTGAGGGTACGTCTGGTCAGTGAATGTAGCTGGTTAGTTAACTTCCAGAGAGACAAGTTATTTTCAAAGGAGTCAAAATGCAGCTTTTACAGATTTCTCTCTCTTCCACCACCATCCCTGCCTCAGCTAAAACCAGCTCCACAGGTTCCAGAGGAAAAGGATCAGATCTAGGAATTCTGCATCGCATGGACAAATCACCCATTTGCAGTAACATGGAGACATTCAGAAATCTGCAAATCTATGACATTTTCCCAGATGAGCATTGTTCCTGCAAAGAATGCCTAGGAATTTCTCCCAAACTGCCTGGGGTGAGTCAGAGAGGGATTCTTGAACAGGAAAGTTGTGAACTGACAGCGACTGATCGCTCATGGGAAGCACTGAGGTCACAGAGGTCAGGAAATAAAAAAACATTAATCACTAATCGTTAAATTTTAACTACACCAAATTAAATCAATAAATAATGTGAAAGTATGGAAAAATAACCCAAATTCCCAAAAATCTCTTTAATTCCACAAAAGGAAATAGGAAGTATTTTTATTCACTGGGTTTAAAAACAGAATTATGAATGTTAACGACGTATGTTTTAGAAGTCACCAGTGAAATGAAAACTAGAATGTTCATCTTTAAAATGATGATCAATGCTATAAACCAAACCGACCATCAGAGGACAGACAGACTGTCCAGGAGAGGAAGCACGAGCCCCTGGGGAGCATGAAGGTAACACCGGCAGCAGGGCCAGACCACACAGACCGCGGCCACAAGGGAACTCGGCCTGGACCCCCCGAAAGGAGAGACCCAACTGGAGGCTCTTGCAAACCAGAGAAATGACGAAGTGTCTGCAGATTCCACAGCCACATTTGACCAGACCAGCAGGGTGAAATGCAATGCCACTCTCAAGGTAGAATGTGAATGAGGAGGAGTTATGTGCAAAGGGAAAGAAAGTAATGACAAAAGGCGCAATGCGTAACAAGGGCCTGACATTGATACATCGTCGTGGGGGCGGGGCGGGGTGGTGGGCAGGGGAGGGTATCGCTAAACACAGCTCAGGGGGCCCGGTGGGCACAGCTGCTCATAAAGCAATTCCGCCTTCTATCAAGAGCCTGGCACTGCTCATATTCTTTGACCCAGTAATCCCCCACTTTTGATAATGTCTCCTTAAGAGATAATGCAAGATGTGGACACATATTTATGACCCGGCATTATTAAATAGCAAAAATATGGAAACCTAATATGCCCAACAAAAGAGGAATAGGAAGTAAATTTAAATTGTATTATTTAAATTGATACTTCTGAACAGTTTTAAGGGGAAAGGGGTTAAAAATCTTAGGGGAAAAAAGCAGAAAACAAATTTTTGTTCGCAGAATAATATTGAATATATTTTAAAAATACACATGGAAAGCCCTGGCTGGTGTAGCTCAGTGGATTGAGCGCGGGCCTGCGAACCAGACAATCGCAGTTCGATTCCCAGTCAGGGCACATACTGGGGTTGCTGGCCAGTTCCCTGCAGGCCAGTTCCCAGCAGGGGATGCATGAAAGGCAACCGTACATTGATGTTTCTCTCCCTCTCTCCTTCCCTTCCCCTCTAAAGATAAATAAAATCTTAAAAAAAAATACACGTGGAAAAAAGGCTCAAAGGTAATAAACCAAAATGCGAATAATAGGGACAGTGGGAATTAGACGTGATTTGAAATTTCTCTTTATACTTTTCTCTACTTCCTGAAATTTACATGTTGAATATGTACCACTTAAATAATAAAAATATTATACCAAAGGTTTATAGTTATCAAGCTAGATTGCTAAAAATATAAGAAGAAAAACATTAAAAACATAAATTGCAAACCACAATTTAGTGGGTGAAATGAGCTCATCACTGTCCCACAGGACAGATAAATTAAACAAGAGTGCAAAAGCCATTGTGAGGAAAAAGTGTGGAAGTCTTTAAAACGGGCTAAAAAGATTACTGGGTTTCCTGTCTAGTACATCCTTCTGGGTTATCTACATCTTCCTCATGTTAGAGCTCCTTTTAAAACTTGAAGATGTAAAAAAATGGAAAACAATGGAAATACTTCTCATCCACAGAAATGCATCTGAACTGCATTGGGCAGCCCATGACGGATCACGCCCTGTGGTCAGGGCGTCTGCCCACAGATGCCTACACTCTCCCGGTTGCTTACACGCACAGCGTGTGCCCTGGATGCCCCTTTGTGCCAGGTGCGACATCTTACCGGTACAGGTGCAGCATCTTACAGGTGCTCACATTAATGAGTGAGTTAAAGGAGATTGCGGATATATAGGCATTTTACATTTGTCCAAGAGACATGGTTTTTCCTTTTTGCAAAGTTGTCTTTGAACAGCATAGGTTTCATAACAATGAAATAGCTATTTTTAAATTTTACACTCTGAAAATATGGTCTGCATCTTCTCAAGCATCCCTGAGATAGTTATAAAAATAAATCAGATAATATGTCGTAAGAAATCACAACACATTAAAAAACTAGAGTGGGAGACTCACGGGGCGCTCGGGTTCACCCTAACAGCACAACCTAGGGAACGATCAAGGGCGCAGAGTGTCAGAGAGTAACATGCAAATCTGTGGTAGCAGGGAACGCATGGTTCAAAGGCAAATGTGTAAATTCAAACTTTATGATAAAAAACGTAAGCATTCTAGTTCACACGTGAAAAAAGAATAGCAACAACAACAAACCCAAGGAAACAGGAGGAAGAAATAAGGATAAAAACTAGACATGCAGAGGAAACATCGTGAAATTTAAATAAATGTATCAGGAGCTTGATATTAGAATGAGTAAAACTCTGTCGAATGTAAGTTTTTAAAATGTAGCAAAAGAGGACAAAAATTAAAACAAGAACTGAGCTACGAGAAATGTTTTATTGAACTTAATGCGCTTTAAGTGCCTGTTTTGTATTGTTTTAATTTTTTAAAAAATCCTAAGAACATACAATGCATAACTGATCATAAAACTGATCATGTCCATGATAGCTTTTAAAAAACTGTACTAAAATGGATAGAAAAAGTAAAAAAAATTAACTAAAACTAGAATTGACCTTAAAATAAGTATTAAAATAATCTCCTCTCACTTGATACTTTGACGCAACCTGCATTGATAAATTCTTTCTATTTTTGAACAGAAAAGCAATCCTGTTAGAGAAATTGATTCATGCCCAGAAAATATTCAAAGCCACCTACAGTTCACTCCCAAACCGTCATCGATTTTCTGTGCCCGATCTGAGACAGAGATAAATGCTCAGCCAGTGATGAGGACTCAGCAACATGATGAAAGAATAATGCCCCAGTTAGGGCTTATCACAGCAAGCTAAGGGCTGTTCAATGGGAGTGAATCTAATAATAGAATCCACCCCATCAATAGCTTCAGAAAGCTCATATGACTGTTTTACAAAGACCAAAAAGGCATTTGGAAAAAATTCACTACTACCACCATCAAAGACAAAATTTAACAAAGGGAATGCAAAAATAATTTTTTGAGCAGGCTGAAGTGGATCCTAAATTAAGAGCTGGCACTAATATTGTAATTAGTCGAGAAATACTAGAGAGATGCACTTGAAAATCAGAGGCAGAACAGGGATGCCTGGCCTAGCACCATGGCAGTGTTTAGGATCTGGAGGAAGTGCAAGAGGGCACAAGGGGAACTAGGAGGAACCCAGCAGAAATGAGCAGATGGCCGCTGCAGCTCACAACTAATGACCTGACTGGTATCAAGAAAAACAAACACGTCATCTGAAACCAACAGGTGCAGGAGATGCATGTGAGATAATCAATGAAAGGAATTCTGCATTTCTACACCCCCAAATTGGTTAGGAAATATGCAAGAAATGCCAGTCGCCATGGCAACAACCTACTGTCACCACCACTAACAACACTCCACAGGCTGTACTGAACATCAAACGTGCATGATGATTGAGAGCAGAATCTCCCAAGAGAGCCCGTGCTGTACTGGGAGATGTCAAAGTCCTCTGCTGAGTGAAGACTTAGAGCACATCGCAGAAAGGTTTATGACCAAAACCCAGAAGCAACTACGGATGTTATCAACAGCTTGGGACCACACTGCGGAGAAGTGGCCCTGTTCAAAGATGAGGAAACAGAGGCTCTAAGAGGTGGTTTCAGCCCCGAGGAGACCTGAGTGGTGTATGGTGCACAGCATGCTGGGAGCAGATCTGGGGCTGACACCCTTGACAAGGTGACTCGGATTCTAGAGTCTGGGTCTTCCCCACTCCGTTGTAATCCACTGCCTACCTTGTACTTCCAAATAGCAAACAGTCTACAGGATGAATGAGGAAAGGGAGTGCGTTTCACATGTTACTAAAAGTGACTTTAAAACATCAAGACTCAAAACAGCATGACACTGGAAATGTGGGTAGTGGAGGCTCAGGGCGCAGCTCAGCTATTGCAGGCATGGGAAGAAAGTTCTCTAATGTACTGCACAGCAGTAGCTGAGTAGCATTTGAAAAACTGTACAGACCTAGTCCTACCCGTGCCTAGGCATACGACAGAAGCCTAATTATAAAAACTAGTGGTTGCCTTTGCTCTGTGCCAGGCCCTGTGCTAAGCAGCTCAGAGACCTTCATTCAATCCTCATGAGGATCCCAGAGTGAATGCTCCCATTCCGCAGATGGAGGAACTGAGGCTCAGAAAGGGGAGTGACTGGCTCTGGGTCTTTCGGTCAGGCCTGGCTGACTTCTACAGGGAACCTGTCCATGTGGCAGTGGTGAATGTAGCTGAGCCCAATTCAGAAAACCGACAGGGAGCAAGGTCGGCACACAGGAGCCAAACCCACACATCGGTTTTCCCATGGGGCATCAGGCCTACCTTGTACCTAGGCTGCTTTGAGGCTTGCTTTTGCTAAAACTCCCTCACCCTGGATTGAGGCAGAAAATGTTTACTGCATATCTTTAATATCTGTGCTAAACCTCCCAAGGATGGACTGTAACCAGTTCAACCACTTTTCCCCTTGATCTGCAACATACTTCTCTTTGAAGTAATTAGCAACATTCTTTCCTTTGTTATCCATAAAAGGTAATCACCTGCAGTGAACCTGTGCATAGTAAATGAGGACCATCCTCAATGTAATGCTCCCAGAAAAACAATAAAAGCCTCTCCAGGCAGGGGTCAGGGCCCCCTCTCTCACTTAGAGAGAGGCCGTGCTGTCCCTCTTCTCCACAGGACTTGTTCGTCTGTGTGAATTTGTAGTCCGTGTGAACTTGTTCATTGCAGCCACAACACACGGACCCCGCGGGCCAGAGTCCACATCAACTTCAACAGCCAAGCTCCCTGTTCTCACCCAGCAGATGGTGCTGGCCTTTTTTGCGCTCCCACAGTGGCTGCAAGCCCTTGAGTGTCTAGGTGTCCCTCACAATATAGCCCACTCCCATGGTGCCTTAGTCAATGCGCCCAAGAGGCTGCCCCTACTCCTGGCTGCCGTATACTCCCGTCACTCCTGGGTGGGCTTGAAGTCCCGTGCTGTGCTCTGCACCTCCTGACAACTCCCTGACTCAGTTTCCCCTCTCGTTTCAGCTAGCAGGTATGGCTTTCTGGCTACAACTCTGCAGGGTTCACCCTCCTGAGCCTTAGGAAATTCACCGCACCCCTTCTCCATGGATGCAGAGAAAGAACACAGCCTGCCTGCCCCCTGTGGGAGCTGCTAGCCCAGTGCAGGTACAGAGCCAAGGGCGGGAAATGAAGCTTGGGGTGGGCTGTTTACACTTACCTGAGCTGCAATGGAGAAGGCACAATCACCGCCCTGCCCCCCCAGCCCACCGCCAACCTGGCCTTATCTCCTGGCCTTCCATCCTTTTCCAGGTCATCAATGCAAACGAGGAGGAGACAGGGCTGCAGGTGGAGACCTCTCTCCAGGACACGCAGGGAGTCCCTGCACTCCTAATGGTTCCACTGCCCAGCCAACGGCTTCAGGCCTGGACAGGCGTTCTCATACCAGACACCGCCCGATTCCTCAGTCCAGGTCACATGCATGAACCTGCCCTTCCCTTTCCCGTCTCAAAACCCTGCTACAGCAGGGAACGAGACTCTCAGGTATGAACACTTGTCCAAGGACCCCAGAGGACCTGGCCTGCCTGCTGCTCCCTGTCCAGGACTCTGTCCCAGGACCGTGCCAGTTCTGGGAAAGGGTCTCACCCTCCAAACCGGACACCAGACACAGGAGGACAGGGCCATTCATGGAGCTGCTCCACTTACTTCACAGTTTACCTCAGCTCCCTCTCGGAGCCCCAAGCAAAGCCCACCCAGAGTCAGGCCCACCCAACGCTTATCACAAATCCAGGCACCCTTGGGTGTGGATGCCCCAGAGAGAATCTGGAATCAAAGCCTGGACCCCCACAGGCCACCCACACCTGCTGACCTTCTTAGTGTAGCCCATGGCCTTCAAGACAGAATGATTCAAGGTCTCCAGGGAGGCCAAGACATCCTCATAGTCCCCCATGTGGTCCACAAAGTAATCTGGGGGAAAAGGAAGCAAAGGTCAGGTGTCATAGGAGGATCCCGCCCCTCCCCTCCCCCCACACCTCTCGGTCCTTGCAGAGCCTAGCTGGGTACCTACCACACAGCTCCTTGGTGTCCACGTGGCTGCACAGAGAACAAAGGAGAGGGGGACTCAGAAGCTGTTCTGTCCCACCCCCTGCCCTCCCTCTGCAGCACACACAGCCCGTGCAGCTGGTGTAACACCCACACGCCTTCTCCCTTCATTCCATTCTGGCACCGTGAGCGCCACTTTATAGGTGAGGGTGCAGCAGGTAAATGGTCCCACCCGCTCCAAAGGACGGAGCAGGGATCCACGTCCGCACCTCTGTCCATCTGACACCCTCCCACACCACCCGCCCCACTGGTTTTCTCTCCCAAAGTCTGCTGACCACATTATGAGCAGCTGGGACCAAGGGATGAGGCTGAGGCAGGGCCCAGGAAAGGGAGGGGAAAGGGATGTGGGGCATGGCCACTGGAGGCCAGGCCAAAACAAAACCCTCCAGTGACTTGCTGCCCCTGGGCATTCTGCCTCTGGATCTCACCCTAGCCCCGGGCTCTGCATCCCCTGACAGGGAGAGGGTCCTGTGCTTCCTCAGAAGAGGCTGAGCCAAAAGCCAGCTCTGCCCTTGAAGGTGCACATGGCAAAGTGGGCTCAGGACTGAGATGCGACTGTTGTGTGTGCTTGGTGGGTGCCTAGGGTCCCCGAGTGTCTGTGTAGGATCCAAACCTTCATTTTCTGGGTCCTAGTGTCCTCACTGAGAGAGAAAGGCCTGGCCTGCAACAGTGAGCTCTGCACCACCCAGGTTCAACCAGGTGCCTCTGGGAAAAGGCTCCTGCGGCCAATTAACCGGTTTGGAGGCTTTGCAAGCTGTCTTGGAGGTTCCCCTCATTTGCATGTCATAGTCAAAGTTCTGACAAATGTTGCAGAAAGGAAGCTTGTTTAATTGTGTTTTAACTAGCATTTCACCAATCACTCTGATCCGTGTGCGCTGTTATGGATGGAAAGCCTATTTAGCATCCCAGGAGCGCGTCTTTACAGTTGCGATGGGGGAGTGCTGCAGGAAGTATTCCTAAAGGTCTCAGGGTTTTGACCTTCTACGCGTTGGTGAGCCCTCCCCACCCCCACCCGCATGCTGCTCTAAATTCTCAAACCAGCACCTCTTTCTCACCCCCCTCATCTGGCCCACCACAAAAGGCACCAAATAAGAATGAATAACCAATGGGCACCAGCCCTTTCAAAGCTTCGCAGGAGCTGCGGGAGTCTCTCAGAAACCTCTAGATACAAAGCCTTTGGTCGCTGCAGCCAGCAGGAGGAAGCTCCTTCTTTTAAGTGGCCTTCCCTGGATCACCAGGCCTGCTCCATCTGTCCCACCCTGGTCCCCAGCCCCCGTCGCCCAGGACTCTGTCAGCCCCAACCTCTGGCCCAGGCCACCACTGTGCTGGGGCCCTTGCCTACAGGCCTGGTGGCAGCTCCTTGTTCGAGCCCTCTGTAGCCTGTGTCAGGGGACCCCAACCTATCACATCTGCCCCAAGCACCCTCCCAGGAACCGTGGTCGTCTTCCTGAGAGGGGGCCTGAGGAAGGTGACCAGGTATCTATCCGGTGGAGAAGGGGGCCCATCCTGCTTGGGTAACCCCAAGGAAATTACAGTGTGTGATTGTTAAATCACTCTGCTGTACACCTGAACCCAGTACAAAGTAATACAGAAAGTAAACTAATGTAAAGAAAAAAGTAAGGATTAGCACTGAGATAAGATTTGATTTCAGATGGAGTCTCCTGAGACCAAAATGACAGCATTAGAGCTGGGTCAGAGCTGGGCGGAGTTAGCAGAAGGGTGGCATGACGGCCAGCTTCCCGCTCCATCATCCTGTGTACCTTCTGCAGAATCTAGGGTCTCTGCTCGGCCACGTGTACTCAGAAAAGACCAATTTGCCAACTTGGTAGCAACCAGCCCCCTCCTCAAACCACCCCAGCAGTGGGGGGGGGGGGGCTCTGACTTCTGGATTAATGAGTTGGGGGACTGCAGGGCCCCTGCACCTCCAGAATGGTGGACCGTGGAGACTGGCCCCTGGGGGAGAAGGAAGGTCCCTCCTAGACCCACTGGGCGCCCCGCTCTAGCAACCAGGGCTCAGCTCACTTGGTGTCATCCGAGTCAATGGTGTGGAAGAGGTCCTCCAGCTCTGTCTCGTCAAGGACGCCGTCTGCAAAGAAGAGCTGGAATTCTTCCAAGGACAACTTCCCATCATCTGCAAAGGAGGAAGGAAGGACGGAGAGCGCCTGGTGTCTGAGCCGTAGGATATCCCCAAACCCAGACAACTCCCGAACTACGTAACAGATAAATCCCAAACCCTTGCAGCTAATCCCTGCCTGCAGGCTAATCCCCAAATTAACCAGTAAACTCCGGCTCACAGATTTAGTGACTCATTCAGCAAATTCCCAAACCAACAGACCAACACCTACTTAGAGATAATCCTCAAGCCAACAAACAAGTAGCTAGCCTGCCAGGGGCGCACTCTGCACGAATTCAGCACTCTTCCCTCATGTGATCCACCTGATCGCCCTGGGGCAGGCACTGTTTATGGCAGCACCACACCTGTAACAGGTACGTCCAAAGCTGGGAAGTCTGATGATCCCTCTCTCTCTCTTCCAAGTACCCAGATGATCTCCCCAACACTAGCACCCACGTCCTGATTTGGGGAGAGGGACCTACCTGGTAAACTTCAGACCCAAGCCTTTTCGTGGTCTGAGGTGTAACGGTTGTCATGATTGGCAACAGATGCAACCATCAAGATGCCAAACCACGAGGAAAGGCGGTGCCGGGCCTGGGCCCAGTGCTGGACCGCCCTCCTCGGGCTGGGGGCTGTGGTTCCGCAATGGGGAGGGGTGGGGCTCTGTAAGAGGTCACTGCCGCTCATGCGTGCCACCTGCCCTTCCCGCATTCCCCTCCCCCATCTCACCTCTTCCCCTTCCACCTGCAGTCACCCCGGCACAACCCCAGAAGCTCTCACGGTTGGGGGTGGAAAGGCCACTGAGGGAGGGGCTCACAGCAGAACCCCAAGGCCTCCAGGAGAAACAGTCCTCAAGTTTCCACCCTTGGCTCCTCCCACCTGAGCACAGCTGTGGACCAGCCTTGGGCGAGCTGATCTCTAGCCCCCTGCAGCCATCACCCCTTCCTCCAGGATGGGCCCTGCTCCTTAAAGGAGCCGTGTCTGTGGGAGGCAGTGGAGGTCAGGGAGAATGGCAAGCCCAAGGCACTGCACTGCCCAGCCCCTCTATGAAGACCCCCTTCCATAACTTCCAGCTAGGCTGCAATTGAAGCCCCAGCAAGCCCACAAGGCACCTCTGTATGGATTAGAAGGAGGTGCCCTTTTCTGATTGGGGGTGGGGGACGGGTTGGGGGCTGGAGTGCAGGCTGAACCTGGGGCCCTCAAACCCTCAGGGAGATGCCCTGAGCAGGCACAGCCTGCCCCACTGTACCTGGCAGACCTCCTTGAGCCCAGATTCTTGAGCTAGCTCCTTCTCACATTTTAAAGGTTCTGGAGCTTCTACCTCTGCTCCCAGCAGCTCTGTGTGGGCTTGGAGTAGGGCAGAAGGACAAGTTCAGGGCACAGAGACCCTCACCCTGTGGAGACTTCCCTCTACCTGTCACCAGTATTGGGCCTGGGGACGTGGCCCCAGGACACCTTCGCTCTCGAAGTTCAGGTTTCAATGACACAGAAGGAGGAGTTTGTAACTTCCAAATGCCAAGAGCCCCCCACCCCAATACACCCACATAGAAGATCCAGAAACCTACCGTGAATAGTATGAGATACTTGTGAAAAACAACAACTCTAAGCTGTGGCTCTTTGTAGTCTGGGCAGGAGGAGACTTTCCAAGTTCCCTTTGGCAAGATTGGTGATGAAAACCAGGAACCACAGTGTAGAATCAGGGCGGACACATGGGGCTCTTACTGTGTGTTCACTCATTTAGGCTTCAGCGCACCCCATGGCATGGGAGCACTACCCCCCCCAGTTTTACAGAGCCCTAAACCAAGGCAGGGCAGTTAGGCGACTTGCGCAGGCCCTACAGCTGGAGTCAGCCCAGGCCTTCCGGCTCCGGAGTCCACGCTCTCAACCCAACATGGTGCAGGGTCCTGTGGGGAGACCTCCAGCCCCAGGGCCCCATGGGAGTCTGAAGCCAAGTCCGGGCACATGTGCTACGACTGATTACTCGTGTCTGCCCGGGCTTGGCTGGGAGTCTCCCTGCCCCCACCCGCATCCGCCTGCCTCTCGGTACCCCTGTCCAGTCTGCAGTCAGGAGGGCAGCCAGGAGGGGCTGCCAGGCCTCCAGAGCACAAAGCCTTTCCCGCTGACATTTACCATGAATGTCCCACCACAGTCCTAATGAACCCAGACCAGCTAATGAAGGAAGAGACCTCTTCTGCCCAATCAGGCCCCTGCCCAATCAGGCCAGCAGGCCCGGCACCTCCACCCCAGTGGGCCACTTGCAGGTGTCTTCCCTAATTAGCGTGAGCTCAGCCTCTTCTGACAGTGACCTTTCAAACGCCAGGAGTCTGTATCCCTGGAGAGAAATGCAGTCTCTGGAGAAGTCTGGGTTCAGAGAGGGTGGCCAGAGGCCGCTCGTGCCCCTGTAACCAACCCTGCAGGTCTATGATCTTCCCACCCTCCGCCCAGGGCCCAGCTTGAGACCACACTCCTGTCTTCCTCTCGCCCCCCCCCATCTTACACTCCCAAGGACGCTGGGGAGGGCAGCAAATGTTTGTGCTCAGTAAGTGTGTGCACATGTCTCTGTGTGTCTCCACCTGTGTTACCCACTCTTACCCGTGTGCGGGCACTACCTCCAGCCCCTGCCCACACGACGTTTTCAATCAAACCCTGCTGGGCTGCACCGGAAGTCTGGCCCTCCCCAGCTGAGGGGCTCAGTGGTTCCCCACAGGAGGCCAGGGCTCCATTCTCCACCCCCACGACAGCCCTCTGAGCTGTGTACCAGTTTCAGTACCCCCACTTACAGATGGGGAAACTGAGGCCTGAGAGTTTGGTGACTGGCCTGAAGTCATAAAGCTGGGAAGCGGCTGAGGGAGGGCTTTGACCCAGGCAGCCTCTGTGACAGAGGGGGGCCCGCCTCTCTCCCACGGGCTCCGTATCCCACACACATGTTAACCCCGGTGACAACCCAGTGGCCACTCAGGGCAACTGGGAAGACTTGAGACCCCACGAGGAGTGGGCTGGGCCTTGGTGGGGGCTGCAGGAATGAAACTGAGGGCCCCGAAGCTATGCTCAGGGCAGAGCCGTTGCCTCTGACTGGGAACAAGTAATGAAGCCGAAAGCCCACTGGTGCCTGAGTGGAGACCAGGGTGCTGCCCCCCATGCACTCACACACACAAACACACGCAGCCCCCCATCCACCTGGGTGCATATGCTCCTGGCAGCATGTATGGAAACCACAGCCAGACACACTGCTGCGCCCCAGGGCCACACTCGAATCCATGAATAAACTCATCACCTAAATCTACAGGCATTTACTGAGCACCTACTGTGTGCTGTGTGAGGCCCACGATGGGGACAAGTCCCTTCACCTCCTTATCTATCTAATCTTGATGCCACCACCATTTCTGACGCCACCACCATTACTTGAGCCCCAGTGAAGCTCCCCCGTCCCTTTCCTTTCTCCTTGCTCCATATGGAATTGCTCTGATGGACCTTCGTCCCAAGAGGCCTGGGAGGGGCCGATACTCCCAGGGATGGGGGGCAAGAGATGGAGACCCCTGGGCACGGCCTTCCAGCCCGGGCCTGCGCATCACCTCCCACCCCCAGGCCTCGTGTTCACCAACGCCACGGGTGGTGGGGGGCAGGTCAACAGTAACTCCCAGGGACAGGGAGGGAGGGAGCGCTGGGACCCAGGCTGGAGCAGGAGAGAGACTGGGACCTGACGCTTTGGGGGACCTGAGGACCCTGAGGGGCAGGCGCCATCTGTTCCCCACTTTCTTCCCAGCACAAACCTCAACCAACATTCAATCAGCTTTTTTTTTTTCAATAAATAAGCAAATAAACACTGAGCCCTGCTTAATTCTCCCTAAAAAACGTCTATCCTCGTATCTCCTGTATTTTCCCAACAGCCTAGGGAAGGAAGTAGACAGGTGCTGCCACCCCACTTTACAGATGGGGAAACTGAGGCCTGGAGAGGGAATGTGCCTCGGTTAGAGCCGTGTAGAGTCCTTACGGGCCCGAGAATATTGGCTACAGTGTGTACAGGAAGTCGTACAGCTTTGTCACACCTGCGGAGCTCGGGCAGGCCTTGGTAAGCTCGGCTATCCTTGTGCGGGGCCGGCTCGAGGCTTGTCGGCGTGCACACTGCTTTTCCCAGCAGTCGGAAGTGGGGCGTCGTGTCCTCTCTGGCAGGACGATGCACTGCTCATGTTGTTAGGGAGGCTGCGTGATGTGTGGAGACGGGCCGGCGTCTGCCACAGCGCCTCGCCTGCCTTCACAAGCTGGGCTACCCTGGGCAAGTCTCATAACCTCTCGGCCAGTACGGAGCTGACAGGGCAGAGGACACAGCACTGACTGCATCAGGCTGCTGTGAGGAGGGAAGTGTGCTGGGGCCTGTGAGGGGCCTCCCGTGAGGCTGGGGGCTTCCTTAAGTGGTGGTTTCTAGGTCTCCGCCTGGGCCACCCTGGTGCAGCCCAGCTGCATAAGGGCTGATGCACCGAGCGTTTACCACGGCCATCATGGCATCACAGACATTAACCCACAGAACCCTCCTGGCATCCCTGCTCTGCAGGAACTATGGGAGTCCCACTGTACAGGGGGGAAACTGAGGCACAGAGCGGAACCAGGATTTGGCCTTCAGACTCCAGAGACCTGCACTCTTCGCCTTTAGGTTCAAGGTTGTCCAGTCCCCACCCATGAACCTTTGCCCTGAAAAAGAGCAGGTCCTCATTCAGGGGCCAGCCTGGGAGGGAAACTCACCATTTTTGTCCGCACGGCGGAAAATCTGCAGAGAAGAGAGGGTGATTGAGTCAGCCCAGGGCCAGGGGCGCAGGCGGCCTCCAGCAGCTCCTGACCTGACAGATATCCCACTCCTCCCCAACTGGCTTAGGAAGTGGAGCCCCCACTTTCTCCCTCCCCAGGAGGAGCCCCCACTGGCTGGGATCCTAGGTGGGGCAGGGGAAGGATGCTGCAGGCAGAGGCCCCTCCCAACCACCCTAGCGGAAGCAGCCGCCCACCCTTCCTTCTGCGCTGCCAGCCTGCCCACAGCCACACTGACAGACACACGCACACGCATGTGGAGACTCTTGCTCATGCTGTCCACATGCTTGGGGGTGCACTCCCAGACCCACCGGTCCACATGGCTCCACCCCTGTTGCATGCTCAGTCGGACCCTCAGAATTTGTGTCCCATGGACGCAGCCACAGGCTTTACCTCCTCACTCCCCTGCTAGCAACCCTTGGGGCCCCACTTTTCTTCAGGGAGGCTGGGGTAAACCTGACCAGGGCGTCTGCTAAGGGAACCCTGAGGCTTGGCACCTGGACCAGCCACGGCAGGATGGGGTTTTTCTGGGTGGGTAAGTGCACTGGGAGCTCAGAAACCCAGTTGCTATGTCAGGCAGGAATGGGGAGGGATGGCCCATGCCCCCACCCCCAACCACAGCTTGATCTTGGAGACCAGACTACTCTTCCTGGTATCTTGGGACCAGGTAAACCATGATGGAGGGAGGAGGAGGAGGAGGCACAGGCCCCTCTGGCCATCCCAACTTTGGTCCTTCCCTGGGATAAAGGACAGTTGCCCCCCACCCTTCCAAGTGGTGGGGCAGGCATCCATTACCAGGCACCTGGGGCTGTGACAAACTGAAGCAGCAGCTCAGGAGGGCTTCTCAGACATAACCCCCCTTCCTTAGTTGAACCTGATTCCAGGGTTCACTGGGCAGGAGCCTCCGTGGCTGGGGCAGAAAGGGGAGCAGATATCAGAGCACCCCAGACCCTCCTCAAAGCTTCAACCTGAGCACCCCACACCTGTGCTCCAGGTGACAAGGTTCCTCGAGGCTGGGGTCTCACCCTCAGGTACCTGCTCTGGGGCCTGGGTGTTAAGTGAATGACACGTCACATGATGTGGCTCTGGGAGGCTGCATGAACCCTGAGCCCCTACCTCTGCTTATCACCCCAATTTACAGATGAGCAAAGGGAGGCTCAGAGCCCTCACTTGGCACTCTGGGACTGGGAGCCCCACTCCTGTACCGTTAGAGGAGAGAACCAAGAGTCTGGACTGGCTTCCCTGCACGGGTGGGCCCAGGACTTTCAGCTGGGAACTCTGCTAGGGTCTTGGGAGGGAGGGTCCCCTGTGTGTCCAGCTGTGCATGTGTGTGTGGGGGGCATGAGACGCAAGCACTCCCAGCAAAGCTCCACCTGCCCTGCCCTGCCCAGACCTCTCTGCTCTGAGCCAGCTGTGGGTTCCAGGAAAGAAGAGAGAAAATCCACACTCCCCCACACTCACAGGGATGTGCAGAACACACACACACACACACACCCCAGACACCCACCACGCACAGGTGAAACACTCCTATCCCCGGGGCCACCCACCAGGCAGGACCCTCACTGGGATTTGCACGTCCCATTGCCCTGCAGTCCGTCTGTCACTGGTGGCATGGGGTGGGCAGGAGGAAGCCCCTCCATCTTCCCCTAACCGTCCGCAGGGCAAGGCCCCCATCCCTTGCCTCCCACCCTGCAGGGTCTCCCTCCCACTGAGGAGGGGGAGGCTTGCCAGAGGTGGACAGTCTGGGTTCCAGAGAGGATGGGGGTGGTGAGTAGGGATGGAGGGTGGGGTGGGGGAGGGAATGGTGAGCAGAGGAGACTCAGAGTGGGTGGGGGTGATGATGGGGGAGCTAGGGGTCCAGACTCAGGGCCCATGGAGGTGGTTCAGGCAAAGCCAGAGGGTGGGAGGCAGGCTTCGCTCTCAAACAGAGCGTGGTAGGGGGAAAGGGTCTTTGATGGAGGATGAGAATACAAGGGCTCAGGAGGAGAAAGGTGGTCTTAGGAAAGTAGCAACTCAAGCAGGGACCCAGGATGGAAAGGAGGAGGGGGCTGGGGGCGTCGGGGGCTCCCGTCCTGGGAAAGAGCGAAGGTAGAGCTTGATGTGCAGGACTGGAAAAACACGGGAATTTGGCCAGGACAAAAAAGTAAGGGGGCGGTGGCCGGGTCAAGGGGGCTCCAGGATCCCGGCTCCGTGAGATGGAAATCCCGAGAAGCTGAGGGAGGGGACGGGAGGAGGGGGTTTGTTCGGGTCAAGAGATGAGAGTGGACGGGGACCGGGACGGATTGGAACGTGGAAGGGCTCGGGGCTCTCGCTCTGGGATGAGTGCGGGTCCTGCTCCAAGCTGCCGAGGGGGATGGGCCAGGGGTCCCCTGCTCAGGGAGGAGGGGGCTTCGTGGGTCCAGGCGAGGACCAAGGAGGACAGCGTGGGGGTGGGTCTTCCCATGGGAGGAGGTATCTTGGGGTCCCGGCCCGAGCGTACTCACGTCCAGGATGACAGCGGTGCCCCCACGCAGCGAGGCGGGGCCCGGGCAGGGGCCGGGGTCTATGGCGGGGGCGTCAGGGGCGGCGGGGACCAACGGCACCCGGGGCTCGCCCATCCTGGCGCCCACCCAGCGCAGCAGCCCGCCTAGCGCCCGGCCCTGCTGCGGCGGCTCCCGCAGCAGCCTGTGCGCGCCGGCCCTGCACAGGCGCGCCGCCCGCTCGCACATCGCGCCGCGCCCGCCGCCGCCCGGAAGCCCGCCGACCCCCGCCCGCCAGCCCGCGGCCCGCCCCCGCGCGACCCCTCCCCGGCGCTGCCGCGGGCGCCGCCCCGCCCTCCCTTCCTCTGCCCCCACGGCCGCGGCCACCGCGGGGACGGGCCGGCGCCGGGGGACCAGGCGGGGAGGGGTGTGCGCTCCGCCCGGACCCCGAGCCACGTGCCTGGTCTCCACCGCCCCACCTCCCTAGGCGACCGCGCGCGGCCGCTGAGGGCTGCCCGCGGGGGTGCTGATCTGGGGGTTGAACCTGGATTCAGCCTGGGAGGGGGCTGCCCAGTAGGCGCTGGGTTGGTGGGGGTCTGGCTGCGCGAGGGCGGAGGCGCCCCTGGGAGTTTTCCCCTTCCCCTGAAAGTCTCCCACTCCCCCTCACCAAGGTCCCCCCGCCACCCCGCCCGTGGCGCCACCGCTAGGGCCGGAGCGCGGTGTCCAGCGAGTACGGAGCGCCCTCTGCCGAGGACGGAGTGCCCCAGCTCCAGGCAGCGGTGCCCACTCCAGGGGCTTCCACCGCCGCTCCCGCGGGCACCCATCCTTCCCTCCTACGGGTGTGAGGCCCCCTCAGACCTCCCCTCCCAGAACCGACTTCCACCCCCGACCACCCTCTTTTCCTCACACTTCAGCGGATGCGATAAGGAGCAAAGCTAGGTGCTAGGCCCTGGGTCCCAATAATGGGCAAAAGGGATACTTCGCCTCCTGGAGCTTACGTTCGAGTGAGCAGAGCCAGAAACTCAGATTCCACGAATGAATAAATCTTTAAAACGGAACTGCTATGAAGAGGTGGCACCTTGGGCCATGAGCGGGGAACTTGCTCTGATGCCGGTGGAGGGGTTTGGATCAGAAGGAGCTTCCTTGAGCAAGTGATTCTTATGCTGAGAGAGTGGAAAGAGCAGGAAGGTTTAAAGAAAGGAGGGGAAATGGGCGTGAGGCTGCTGTGCAAAGGCCCTGGGCCGGTGAAGGAAGCAGGGTGATCCTGAGGGTTGAAAGGCAAAATGTGCTTCAAGGGAGAGTGGGAGGGGCCTTGGCAAGCCTCCCTAGCACTCCGTTCCTCGGACCCTCCCTTCACTTCTCTGGTGCTGCCTTACCTGCCACCCCCGGGGCACTGTCCCTTGTCTCCCAACCCCCAGCCCCAGGCCCTCCTCCCATATGGCCCTATGCTGCTCCCTCCTCCCCGCCCCCAGCTCCTAGAGCAGCCTCCTGGGCACTGGGCCCTTCCCCAAGCACAGAGTTCTCAGACAGGTGAGTAGAGGCAGGTGCTGGCTTTATTTGGAACCCGACTCTGGAAGGAGTGTGCCTGGAATCCTGGCTCAGGGCCCACCTGGTCCTGGTGACCCCACTCACACTGACACCTCCCCCCCCTCAAACCAAAGGTCTGGGCCTCTGCAGAGCCGCAGCCGCCACTCCCAGCCCGAGCACTGCCTGAGCCCAGGCAGCCGGGGCTCTCACTCCTCTTCATCTGAGAAAACTGCATAAGCCAGGAAAGGCTCCCTCCGTCACTGGGCACTGTGTGTCCAGCAGGGCCGTGGTGACCTTCCCTCCTCCTTAAGGCCTAGGTGTGAGGGTGCTGGGCAGAGTGCTAGGGCGGCTTCCTGGCCTCCCTCCGCAGCAGGGAGCTGGCCACTGCCAGCGCCCCGCCCTGCACGAACCGCACGAAGTTGTCCCCGGCCAGCGGCCCCACCGCATACAGGCCCTGCTGCTGTGTGCTCTGGTAGGTGAAGGGGTCCACATCGATGGGGTTCCTCTTGGCGCTCAGTGGCTGCTCAGGGTCCACGGCAAGGTCAGCGCCTGCCCCAGGGAGGAAGGACAGGTTGGGGTGGGAGCCAATGAGGACCAGCACCAGGGAGATGCCAAAGACCTTCTGGTGGCCGCTGGGGTCCTGGAACACAGCCTGGCGGTCCTCCTTGAAGAGCAGCAGCTGGTGCTCGGGGAGGCTGCGGTAGCCCTCATAGGGGCTGGGCGACAGGATGGACTGCTCCCGCATCATCTGGTGCACCTTGTGGTACTCAGGGTACAGCATCTTGGGCAGCTGGTTGAAGACCAGGCCGGGGTCGTCCACGGGCCGGCGGAAGGCGTGGATCACGGGGATGTTGTAGTGACGGGCATAGAGGACCGCGTCGGCCGCGGACAGCCCTGCGCCGACGATGAGGATGGGGTCCGAGGCTGGAGTCAGCGTGCCTGCCCGGATGGCCAGCTCCAGGGCGGACAGTTCGTAGTGGACAAAGGGCAGGGTCTCTCCGGGGATGCCCAGCCGGGCCGGGCTGTCCGATGTGCCTGTGGCCAGGACCACGTTGCGGGCGCAGAGGGAGAAGGGCTGCTGGCTCTGGTCCTCCGCAGTCAGGAAGCCGCTCACCTGGAAGAGGGGCCTGGGGTCCTGGGCCCCAGCGTCAGCGGGAGTGGGCTTCCCCCGTGCCACAGCTGTGACCACGGCGCCAGACACGAAGTTGTGGCCCAGGCCCTTCTTGCTCACGTAGTCCATGTAATAGTGAGCGATGTCCCCGGCGGTAGCTCGGCTGTTGCGAAGACCTCTGCAGGGGTAGACACGGAGGGGTGAGTGACAGAGAGGGACCAGAGTGGAGGGTGTGATCACATGGGACAGGGAATGACCAGGCTGGCTCCAGGCCCTGGAGTCAACTATGGCTGTGCGCCCACCAGCCTGAGCGCCCTGGGTTCGTGCCCTGCCCATGCCTCAGTGAGCTGTTTCCTGACACTCTGCCTCAGTTTCCTCATTGCAGAAGGAGGATGATGATGGCGATGTAAATGAAGAGTTTAGAAGGAACCTGACATTCAGTAAGTGACACGGAAGGGTCAGCCACCGTTCATATTACCTCTAAGGGTGAAATAGTACGAGACATAAATATGGTGGGATTCCATGTTCATAAATTCGGAAATGGCAAAGCTAATCCATGGAGTCAGAGGTCAAGACTGTGGTTGCCTCTGGGGAGGAGAGGGGGTGGGCACCAGGAGGGGCCTGGGGGGGGGGCTGGGGAGAGGGGATCTATTTCTTGAGTCCAGGTGGCTGGACCCAGGTGCGTCTACTCTGAGAAATTTCATCCACCTGTACACGTGGGAGTTGTGGACTTTTCTATTTGTATGACGTAGTTCAGTGAAAAGGTTCACTACAGAAGTAACCCCTGTAGAGCACTGGTTAGCCCAGCCCCCGGCACACTCAGGACCAGCTGGGACTCCTGATAGCCATCCTCACTGTCACCACTGTCTCGGGCAGCAGGCCAGTGTGGCTGGTGTCAAGGTGCAGGCTGCAGCGCCCTCCCCGCGTCTGCCCGGGTGCCCTCAGGGAAGGCACTGTCCCCGGCTGTGGACATGTTGTTAGAGATGAACTCGCTTAACAGGAATCCTAAGTGACACACAGACACACCCCCCAAGGCCACCGTAGTCAGCCCAGCTCGTCAGTCTGCTACTGAAACTGGAAACCATTCTGGAGTTTCTCACCCCACTTGTCTCTTTTAAAGACCTGTGCTAAGACGTCACTTTGGTATCATTTACAGAAATGGCTCGTTAGAAAGGATGAAAGCTCCATGACAGGACAGTGACTTAGTTTCCGAGGCAGCACCTCGAGGGCAGGGAATGCGTCTGCCAGGTTTCTGGCTCCGGCGTCTGAGCGCAGGGCCCTGGACACAGGAAGTGGGCCATGGAATTGCTCACCCTCCCTGGGGAATATTATGTGGCCTTGAAAAAGGTGGCTGCAAATGCTGCCACTGCCACGCGAAACGCTGGGACATAATGGTAAAATTTAGAAGTTGGATATAGAAGGGTGACGTCTACGCGTGAGATTTGAGTTCCTGCCCGTTAACACACCGCTGTGTGTCAGACATTTTTCTACCAAGCCTGCGGGGATGAGCGTCAGAGAGACGGGGAGTGAACCCTGGAGAGGCAGAGTGCCTGCCGGGTTGGGGTGGCGTGTCCCCCGTCACGGGGGTGACCCTCTGCCTGGACTACGGGGCGGCTCCACCCTCGCGCCGCAGGGTGGCAGAGGCAGGGCCACATTTACTCAGGGGTCTGTCTCTCCAGAGCAGCTGGTGGTGCGCAGTGAGGCCACTGAGGGGCGGGAAACAAGATGGGAAGAAAACACCCCAAGGTGTGTGGGGTTGGGTGCGTAGTCTCTCCTTTCTCAGTTTTCAGTTTTCTATGGTGTGGCTGTGTTCCTAATGCAAGAGCATTAGAAATAAATAAAGGGAGGAAGGAAGTAGGCCCTTTTAGCTGACCTAGAAGGAAAGAGATTTGTAGGAGGCCAGGCTCAGATTGGGGGTGGGCAGCAGGGAGGCCAGAGGACTGGGCAGCAAGGGGAGGGCCCATCACGTGGGAGGAGGAGGGAGCACTGGAGAGAGACCTGGGTCAGCCCAGCTCTGCTGAGCACTTCTTGTGTGGGCCTGCGCGAGTCTCTTCCCCACTGGAGCCTCGCTTTCTCCTTGGGGTCCGAGAAAGGCCGACCAGATGAGCCTTGAAGCCCTTTTGCCTCTGGCTCCTGGGTACAGCGTAGGGGGTGGGCCTGGGTCCTCCCGGGGCTTCCCAGGGCTGCCTCACCTTCGCTTCCTGCGCATCCAGTCCTTGACCTGCAGGTCCGGCAGCCCCATCCACTGGCCTTGGCTCAGGGTCACCATGGAGCCTTCAATGGACTGTGTGGAAAGGGGTCCTTCAGTTCAGGCCTCTGCTAGCCCTCAACCCACTTGGGCTGGAGGGTGCGGGAAGCCTGAGCTCACACAGAGAAATGGGGGTGGGAGTGGTGGGCGCAGTGAATAGGGAAAGGTAGGAAACAGGACAGTCTGAACCCCAGTTAGGGAGGGCACCCCCCCAAGACTTCATGTAGGCTCGGCCCAAATCCCCTTGCACCCCTTCCAGGCCCACTTACGTGCCAGGCTCCCCCAGGCAGGTTCCGGCCCAGGACCACGTGGGGGATGGCTCGCTCCTTCTGGAGCTTCCAGGTGAGGACGGACTCTGTGTCTCCCCCAAAGTCTGTGTCTGGGCGCAGGAGGGCATCGAAGAGCAGGGCCACAGGGCTTTGGCTCCGGCCTTCGAGGCCTTCGGACAGGTAGTCCAGGTCCTGCGGGGGGCACAGGTCAGAGGGGCCGCCAGGGGCAGGCCGCCCAGTCCTGCTTTCCCATCCTAATATCAGGTGGTCAGAGAGGTGGGGAAAGGCTGCCTCTCAGAAGACGCGGTACACAGTGACATGTTAAAGGCTCCGACAAGGCCTGCGGCAGTTTAATCTGCCAACCCAGTGTTGCTCAGACAGACTGGAGCAGGAGCATCTTCTCAGCGTGTTAACTGAGGAACTAGTGTTCTGTGGAAAGCGTTTTAAAAAATGCTGATCTGGACCAAACATAGCTTACTTCCTCATCCGCCAACTCGAGGGGGGCGGTTGGGGGCCCAGAGGACTGAGCCTGCCTGGAGGGGAGGGGCATGATGGATGGAGTCTGGGGAGGTGAGGGGCGTGGGGCTGGGGACTCTGTGAGTCCGGCTGGGCAGGAGGCAGTGGAACTGGGGGTCGAGGGCAGGGTGCTCAGCCTGTGCACCCCTGACCTCTGGGCAGGGTGCTCTCTGTGGCCGGTGCGGCCTGGTGCATAACAGGACGTTGGACAGCGCCCCTGGCCACCACCCTCTCGGCCAGTGGCAGCACCTCTCCAGCTGTGACAACTGACATGGTCTACAGGTGCTGCCAAGGGTCCCCAGTTTAGAGCCACTGGTCCAGGGGATGGGACAAGCTGATGTGGCACTTGCACATCTCAAGAGAGTCCTGGTTTCTCTTTCAGTCCCCATGGCTGATTCTGTGGCCTCTCCTGTCCCGTGTTTGGTCCTGCTTCTAACAGATGCAGGCCTTGGTTTCTGCACTGGGAAAGCTGGGAGAGTCCCCCAGAGGGGTATGGCCCCCACCCTCCACAGCTTTGGCCCACCTGGTCCAGGATGGAGACCCCTGGTGCCTCCAGGAGCTTCCTCTGCAGTAGGGGATGTGGGTGGACGGCATCCGGCTTCATGTAGGGGGTGTAGCCAGAGAGCAGGTAGGACAGGCAGATGCCCGAAGGACCGTTGCCTGGGGAGAGAAGGGAGGGTCAGAGGACAGCACTTTGACAACGTGCTGGAGATCACAGCTGCCTAGGGCTTCGTTCGTGACCTGACTCGGTCATGGAATTACTCTTCATTCATAAAAATAAAACATCTGTTAAAAGCCATTAGCATGTGCCAGGTACCATATATACTAACAATCACTAAAAAAGCAGCTGAGAGCTTGCTAGGTACCCGGAGCTGTACTACTGAAACAACTTTGTGGTAGTAACCACTGACATTTACTGAGTGCTTACTGTGTGCCAAGCTTTGTGTCAGGGATGTTAATAACAAATTAATTATAAACTGACAGCTGTGGCTGCCATGCCAGGCCCCCAAGTGCCCGAGTTATCCCGCTGGCTCCCCCAGCGACTGCAGCAAGCACCTGCTCTGCTTTTCCTCCTTTTATACTGGAGGAAACCGGGGCACAGAGATGTTAATTAACTTGCCAGTGGTCACACAGCTACCCGGAGAGTCTGAGCTAACTTAGAATGAGTCCTGTCCTTCCAGAGCTGACAGCCTGGTTGATCAGACGGAGGAGTGAAAGAGGGTGGCACAGACTGCTGTGTGTTTGGGGGGTGGGGTGAGCCTCGGGGCCTTGGGAGTGGTGCTGGGGAGGGGTGCTGAACCACATGGGGGCGTCCTGCCCTCACGTCTGAGTGAGTCACAGCTTATCTGTGCCATTTCTTGGGCAATTAACCTCATGACATGGCTTCTGTTCTTATCACCCCTCTTTATCTTGTGCCATTTAGAATATCACCCATTGTACAGCACTATAAAAGAATGAACCACATAAAACTGCTGATGTTCAACCACTTGGACTTACAAGAACGGACCACATGACCTGATGCTTGCATGGAGGAGGGGCCATCTGTCCCCATCTCGGCAGGTCTGAGGACAGGACCACAAGCATTAGCCTCGAACTCTGACCCTCAGGCAGGGTGCCAGGCACACAGAGTGCCTGAGGCCATGCAGACTCTGGACCAGGCCTCCCCTGGCTGCTCTTGCCTTGCGGGTTCTTGGAAGGGTCACATAAAATGACGTTGTGTACATGGTAAGCATACCCTTGGGCACACAGTGAACACTCAGTGGCGCATTTTAAAGACAACAGTTGTAAAAAAAAAAAAAAAAAAAAGGCCAGGTTGGGCCTGGCCTAGCCCCTGACCTCTGATCCCAGGGGCACCCTGGAGAGCTTGACACAGCCCTCCCCTGCCCAGGGTGGCACTCACCGATAATGATGACCTCCAGGGGCTCCGGGCTGCTGGTGCCAAGGTGGTCCTTCCTCCACTTGCTCATGGCTGCAGTTGGCGGGGGATTTGGTGCTGGTAGCTGGCCTGGAGGCACAGGGAAGGAAGGGCCACTGGGTGAGATTTGGGTGTCATTTTGTTCCTTGCCTCATATAGGATGTCCTCCTGTGGCCCTTGGGGTCAAGTCCAAGGTCCTCCCTGAGGCATATAAGGCGGCCTGACCTCTCCCTTCTTGCTTCCTCATACCTGCTCCATTCCAGCCAAGCCCTCCCTCTCCTCCAATCATGCAGGGTCCCCAGCCTGGTCACCTCTGTCTGTCTGAGCCTGGGTCATTCTCCCCATCTTACCAGTGGGGCAGTAATAATACCCAAAGCCTATTAGTCATCTTTCATGGGGCCTCCTCTGCCCAGCCCCAAGGACAAGCCCTGCTCAGCATGGCCGTGCCAGCCATTGCGCCAGCCCTCAGGTCTGGGTGTAGCTTGGTGGACTTTGGAGCCATCGCCTGGCCCCAGTGAGGTGCCTCCCAGCTGGTGACTGTGGGCCTGTTCTGGATGTCCCTGGGTCTCTGTTTCCTCATCTGTAAGTGGGAATAATGTCCCTAACCCCATAGGGCTGCTGGGGACAGTGAGGTCATATATGTGAAGCACCTACCTGGAGCCACAGGGAAAAACCTGAGCTCATTTGCCTGCCCTAGGAGCTGGGCAGGAACACATGGGCCTGGGGGAACTGGAAACCTGGAGTAATTTAATTTGGGGAGACCGCCTGTAAACCTGCTCATTTCTGGTGCATCTGCGCCCCCTGCTGGCCACAAGCCAAAATCACTGGAAGAGACCCAAACCCTGTTCTTAGGGTGTAGCTGCTGCTGGAGAGTCCAGAACCACATTCTCCACTACCCCGCTAACAGGGCCTGGCCTTACCCACTGGGCAGCAGCCCTGCCATCCTGAGGGCCACAAGGCAACACCCACGTGAGTGTGTGAGGAATGGGTAGGCATTCAGCACTCGCTCTCTACTGGGTATCTAACACACTTTTCTCAAGTCCTCCTCACACTGACGGTGCAGAAAGCACTGTTAATACTACTGTCCCATTTAACAATGTGTAAACTAGGGCTCAGAGACCACGCAAGCTTCTCTGTGTCATGCGGCAGGCCGTTAATGGTGCCTGGGGCCATGTCACGCGGCAGGCAGGGCTCCTCACTTTGGTGGGGCCTAGTCCCCAGGACAGCCCCCTCTCCTGCTGAGGTGAGCCTGTGTCCCCCAGCATCTCCCTGAGGAAGCAACAGGTGGCATCCCGCTGACATCAGGGTGCACGGTCTCAGGTCCGGCTCCCTGCAGGGGCTTGTGCTGTGTGCCTGAGGAGAGGACTTTGGGGTTCACCACCCCCACTCATTACAACCAGCTAACATTTCTGTTCTTCTGTGGAGTTGGCTGGGTTCCAGGTATGTCCTAAACACTCCGTGTACAATAGCTAATTTAATTTTATTTACCTGGGTTGTTGTAGGTAGTCTTATAATCATGGCCAGGTTACAGATGGGGAAACTGAGGCCCAGCAAGCTTCCTACAGCCCTGTGCGGTGTGCGAGGAGTTTTGCCCTGGCTTGCACGGGCTGAGCTGGAGTGAGCTCAGGCCACTTTCCAGAGTGCAGTGTGTCAGGCTGCCAGAGCTCCCTGCCAGAGGCCCTCCCCGGCCGCCTGAGTGCAGCACATGCGTCTGTCCCAGCTCACCTGCTCACCCTAGGCTCTGTCCCAGCACTGGGAGCTGGGGACAGGGTACAGTCAGGGGGCGGATGTCCCAGTAGGGATGGGACAATTTCTCAGTAAGCACCAGCGGCTCTTGTGAATAGGACTGCAGCTCCCAGAGCTCTTCCTCTCCTTCTCCTGGTGCCTTCAAACAGCCCCGGGGCACCCATTCCTTGTCTTCATGGTCCCCAGGAGTAACAGCAAAGGGGACACGTGTGATGTCCTTGCTAAATGCCCTCTGACCATTAGCTCCTTTAAACCTCACAATAACCCACTTCACAGATGAGAACACTGAGGCTGGGGGAGGTGAGGCCATGCCCCCAGAACTAGCATTTGATCCCTGTGGGCTGAGACCACTGAGACATCCATGTCCCCCCAGGTAAGTATGCCAGCTTGCTCCAAGTTGGCTTGGCACGCCCTCCCCAGGCCACCCTTCACCTCCTGCCTCTCTCACTCCTCCCATCCTGCAGTGAGGAGCGCATGGGCGGGTGCCCTGACTGACAGAAGAGGGATTCGAACTGGTGGCCCCTTGTCACGCTGCACAGGGTGTAGGGGCCCCGTTTACCACCGGGGCTTTTGGACCAGTGCTCACTCCCAGAAGCTTCTGGATGTCAAGTACAGGAGGTTAGCACCAAGGGCCAACTGGAGAGGTCATTTCCTGTGCAGTGATACGGCCACTGGAAGCCCTGAGCAGCTCAGGGCTCGCACAGCCTACTGCCAGACTGCAACAGATGCTTCGACGGTTTTTCTGTTCCCACTTCTTTTACACTTCTTAGTTTCATGGAGCCAAAGCAGTCCATTTTCAGTGTTAACTTTTTGTTTAAGCCCCTCTGGTTGAAGATGGAAAATGCCATTTAAGGAAAGTTAACATTAAAAACTGATTCAAATTCACAAAAGCAGACAAGCATAAGCAAAACTGAAATGATCACACTTCCAACAATGTTCCCTCTGCCTGTGCTGCATTGGTACCTCTGAGGCCATCGGGCTTCAAATCGCTCTAAGTCTCTGGGACGCTGCATGGTTGCAGGGTTCAGCACCTCTGGTGGTTCTTGCTCATGGGCTTTCCTCACCAGAGGGAGGACCAGAAGTCAGGAGGAAGGAGGCGACTTGCTGGTTGCCCAGGACTGTGAGACTACACACACAAGCAAAAATCCTTTCCCTTGATGCCTGTCAGTCCACCAAGAAAGTGACGTGAGGCTGTGGCAGGGGGAGGATGAAGAGGCACTCTGCCAACCAAGCCGCCCGCACCGGGAGCCCAGAGACTCCAAGGTTCCCCGGACTCCCTGCTCTCGGCACCTGGCCTTCGGTGAGAAGCCAAGTCCCTGGGACCCATGGTGCGGGCCATCTGGGCATTGGTGGGGCGAGTTCTGCCACACTTGAACGGGAGCGATGGGGGCCCCGAGGGAAGCACTTAGTCTGGCTTTGGAGCCCAGTGGCCTAGAGACACTGGCAGCATGCCCAGGGTGGCCACACCTCTCTCTCTCCTGCCAAGAGCAGCGTCACAACTGTCCAGCTGGGGTTGCCAGGCACCTGGAGATAGGCATGGTTGGGAGGGGGAACCTGGCGGCGGTGGGGGTGAGGAGAATCATGCCAGCCTGGGAAGCCGGGGCGGGCCTCCTCCCAGGACCACCTGGGGATTCCCTTGCCTGGTTTCAGGACCCTGTCTGCCACCCCTGTTCAGGACATGTCAACATCCTGCTACCAATCTCTGTGTCTTGCTGAGGCCACTTACCTGACGAGCAGGGGATGAAGGAGACCGGGGAGCTTGGCCTGGTCAGACACTGTGAGGACCAGGAGGTTGGGGTGCCCGCCGAGGGAGGTCCACCGTTACCCCTTGGGGATCTCAGAGGTTGTGAAAGGCCCGGGCAAGCGAGGGTATTTCAAGGGTTGGAAAGAGGCGGGTGGTGGGCGGGGCCAGGAAAATCACTTTCATAAGCATGAGTCAGCAGGGGCCCCTGGATGAATGAACTTGGCAGTCATCCTGCCTGCCCCAGGGCCAGCCTTAAAGAGGTCCACCCTCTTTAAGGGGTGGTCTGTGCAGCAGAGGGACTGGGGATGACCAGGCTGGCCCTACCCTTGGGGCTCAGTCAGTGAATGGAGGGCCAGGGTCCCCTGAACAAGCCAACCTGGACTTTTCGCTTAGGGAGGAGGAGACAGCCCTGCCCAGTGGAGAGCAGCACCTTCAAGTGGAGAGTTCCGTCCCTTCGTCCTGCCTGGTTCCACTGGTGCCCACATCTGCACCCCCCCAAACGCCCTCTGGCACTGCACCGTCCGAGCTGAGAGCCCGGCTCTGCCACATCCTGGGCGAGCTGCCTCACTTTCCTCGTCTGAAAAATGCGACAGCCTCTTCTCCTTGGGGTGGGAGTGGCACTGAAGTGATCTCACCCGTGGTTACCTGGCATGAACCGTGAAGCCTGCTCTCTGGTTCTATCTTTTTTCTTTTTCTCAGCACCGAGCAGTGAGCACTTCACATTTTGCTGATTCTTGCTTATTTTATTGTCTCTCTCCTCAAACCAGGATGTGGGTTCTGTGTGGGTAGGGAAGTGTAATTTTGCCTGTTTTATCCTGAGTCTTGAATACTGCTCAGCACATAGTAGGTACTTGGGAAGGAGGGAAAGTAGGGAGGGAGGAAGGGAGTTGGGCAGCGTAGACCTCTGTGTGTGCATTAGCTGTTATTTTCATTGTCCATGTGATTGTCCCCCATGTGTCGTCCTCTTATCCGGGGACTTTCTGGCCAGCCCTGCCCAGTGGATGGGGGCCTGTGGGTGGCAAGTGAAGCCCTCACTTTGCATGCAAAACTCAAGGAGGTGCCCAAAACACCCACAGATCAAGAAAACATCTTAATGCAAAATTTAAAAAATCACAATTAATGCAATAAAATGTATGATTAACAAAATATTAGAAGTCCAAATAAAGATGGGAGCTGAAGCAGGGCTGTGCTGAGCCACAGCAAGAAATCAGAACACTGACTCTGTCTTTGTTTGCAGCTTCGCTATTCCATTCAGCCTGGATTGAGCGTTACTTTAGATTTTTAGAAATATTGCATGACACACTACGTTTCTTGGTTTTTGGAGTGCCCCTTGCATTTTGTGCCAGAGGTGATATTTCTCTCCTTGTCCTGGTGCTGGTGATGACAGGGGACCATGTGTGACTGCAGGGTTCTTTCGGGGGTGGGGGTGGGGCACCTCTGACCATGCACAGATCTACTGGGACCTGTAGAGAGAGGGGCAGGAGAGGGAGAGAGGGAGAGACAGGGGCGGAGAGGGAAAGAGGGAGAGACAGAGAGGGGGAAAAGGAGAGAGGAAGGAAGAGAGAGGGGGAGAGAGGGAGGAGGGGGTGAAGGCAGCTGGGTATGAGCACACTGCAAACAGAGGGCTAGGGGCAGCAGGAGCTGCTGCAGCGACAAGTGTGGTCCTGGGTTTAGGGAAGATGTCAGGCCCAGTTGGGCCCACGGCCAAGAGTCTCACGGGCTGAGCAGATGAGTGGGAGGGTGGCTGGCACAGAGCCAGGCCTGCTTCGGGCCACACCCTCTGCCTGCCTTGTCCCCTGGGGGCCCTGGGTATATATGCCTTGTGTCAGGACCTCACTCTCAGAAGGACCCTGCACTTGGTTTAACGCACTGTTGTCATCACCTGAAAATCCTTAACAATTTTTGAGCAAGCAGTCCCACATTGTCATTCTGCTTCTGGGCCCCACAGGTCTCGTGACTGGTCCAGGCTGGGCAGCACCTGCCCTTGTGTCGGGCTGCAGGGGGTGAGGGCTGGTCGGGCTCAGGGAGGCGCTGCCTCCTTGGAGCCTTGTGTTATCCAGGGAGAAATGGCGCTCATAGTCCTTTCCCCCTGGGGTCCTTGGTGGCAGTGACCCCTGGGGTCACATAGCATGTGTGTGTGTGTGTGGGGGGGCAGTTAGAGGGAAGACCCCTGCTCCAGCCTCAGCTCTGCTGCAAGTGTTCTGTGTGGCCTTGGGCCAGTGGTCTACCTCTCTGTTCCAGCCATGGCCTTGTTACCAGCCGCCACTCTGACACTTTGAACCCACACCGCACGTGCAGACCAGGACCCAGTGGGGGTCTGACCACACAGGGAGCCTGGGAGAGGGGGGCTGTCCAGCGCTGGTGACATACCTCTGGTGCAGGCTGCATCTTCCCCCAGCAGCCATCTCTCTGGCTCCACTTCCCCATTCCAGGGCTCTGGTCTGCAACTGCCCAGTGCTTTGGGTGTGTAAACTGAGGCAGAGAGAGACACCCCAGGGTCAGAGACTGCCATTGGAGTCGGGGGGCAAGACTTGGGGAGGCCCAGGAAGGAGGAGCTCTGGCTTGTTTCCTCCCTGCCCTGCCCTGCCCCCCACGCTGGCCCTGACCACTCTTCGGGATTTTGAAAATTGGCCGATACAGAGAATTGTGGACAAGATGTGGACTTTCTCCCCTGCCACCTGTTTATTGGCCAGGAGATTATTGGAAATAGAATGCGTGGCATTGCTTCCAGAAAGGTTGACGAAGACAAAGACAGATAATGTCACAGACAGACTAAGGGGTGGCAGCTGAAGAGGGGCCATGGAAAGGGGAGGAGCAGGTTGACCCCGGGGAACTTGAGCTCCCAGACCCCACTGGGCACCCCCTTTCCTCCAGTCCTGCTCTGTCCCCTTCTCCACCATAAGTTCAAGGGACTGTGAAACCCCTGAAATGTGAGCCTCTGAATTCAGATGGAATGGAAATAGGGGGGCAGATATAGCAAATAAAAATATAGGGCCCAGGTAACACGTAACTGCAGAAAACCAAGAAATACACTTTTAGCATGAATATGTCTTCTGCGGTATTTGGGATATACTCACACTAGTTTTTTCATAACTTATTGGAAATTAAAAGTTACCTGGGAGGCCTGTATTTTATTTGGCAAACCCAGCTGTAAGTGTTAACTACACACTAGATTTCAAAGAGGGAGTGCTATAAAAAGGGAAGAGAGTATAAATGTCTCATTAGTAATTTTTGCATGGATTACATGTTGAAGCGAAAATATTCTGGACATCTGGGCTTAAATGAGATATACTATTCAATTTTGATGTCACCCAAGTTTTAAAATTTGTTTAACGTGGCTCCTGGGACCTTCAGTTACACATCTCCTCTCCTGGTTTCCCCGGGTGCCAGCATCTGCCTTGGCTGTTTATGCCAACCAGGGCACCCCCAGCGCTGGCACTAAAAGGCTCCCTGCGGTCCTGGAACTCACTCAGTCCTGAGCGGCCTGGACAGTCCCCTGGGAACATTACAAGGGGCTGGGCAGTGTGACACTTCCCTTGTGAGCCTCAGTTTCCCCATCTCAGCAGTCTGCCCTGCTCAGTAATGGCGGCCCCCTCCCTGCACCCTCCAGGCTTCCCCCAGCCCTCCTGCAACAGCTTGGGAGCTGGAGAGCCAGTGGAAGGGAAGGGAGAGTGGCCTCAGGGAGCTTCTCTGAGGCTCCTGGTGCTGAAATGGCTCTCCCCTGCCCCTGTGTTGAAACCACCATTCCTCACTCCCTAAGAAATCCTAGAAGCACTCCAGGCCCCTGCTCCCGTCTGCCTTCCTCAT